AAAATAATTTTGGGTATTAAAAAAACCATTGTAAAACAACAAATGTTTTAAATTTTAAGAGTACATTTATACACATTTAAATAATACACACTAAAAAATTAATTATTTTGTTAAAGAAATATGCTTGAAAGTGGCAATAAAAACTTGTAAAATTTCAAAACGATCGTATATTATTTTCCTGCTGAGAAACATTCACGAAAAAACGTCAAAATTTCGACAGTCACACCGAGCTACTACCTTAACACGCGACCTCAAACGGCGCTTAAACAAATTTCTCCCACTGTTGTAGTGATTTCGACCTTCTCCGTGCATGAAACCTAAAAAAAATTCTAGAAGATTTTGTTTGTACAATAACTTGCGTTAGAAAAAATCTTTAATAAACCAGCAAAGTTTTTAAAAAATCTACAAATATTTTAAATATTCATTTAAAATTATAGTTTGGTGTTTTGTATATCTATAGTAATAATGAAAAAATTAATTTTTTAACAAAGTTTTACACCAAATGTGCTCCTTTGTTAAGGACATACGAGGTGTGTACCAAAAATAACGGGATTTTTTTTTTTAATATTTATACATTCGTCTACATTAATGTTGTCGCCTTCAAAAAAGTTCACATTCGGTATTATGAACTTATGCCAGCGCTTCTTTCGGCGATGCGCTTTGAATGTCATCTATGCTTGTAAAACGACGACCCTTTAAAATTATCTTTATTTTTGGAAATAGGAAAAAGTCACACAGAGCCATGTCTAGCAAATATTGAGGCTGGCATATTGTACAGCATTGTTTTTGGCCAATAATTCACGAGCAAGCAACGAAGTGTGAGCATGTGCATTATCGCGGTGCAAAAGCCATGAATTGCTTTTCTACAAATCTGTGATTTTTTTATTTTTTTTGGATTGCTACAAAGCGGCGTTAAACTTGTAGGTGGTACTCGTTGTTGACCGTTTGACCTTGAGGCAAGAATGCATGATGCACTATGCCATTAAAGTCGAAAAACACAGTAAGCATAACTTTCACGTTCGAACGCACTTATCGCGATGTTTTCGGTTTTAGCTTCCGCTAAAGTGATTGAGGCTTAGTTTCAACGTCATATTCATAAACCCATGTCTCGTCAGCTTTTATAATACGTTTCAGTAATTCGACATCGGCGTTGATTTCATTCATTTAGTGATCAACTTCAATTCGATGCTTTTTTTGTTTAAAATTCAGCAATTTTGGAAAAAAAAATTCCTGAAACGCCTTTCATACCTTAACCTTTTGAAAAAATTTCATTCCATGTGTCAATAAACATACAAACATCATTAACGACTTCTCTGATTGTGATCCTGGGATCATTCATAGCCACTGCTTTCACTTTTTCCACGTTGTTATCGGTTGTTAATGTGCTGGGGCGCTCATTAACTTCAACGTCTTCACGCGCATCGTGGAAACACTCATACCACTCGTAAACTCTTGTTTTCCTTATAACAGACTTACCATAGACCTTTGTTAACATTTCACACACTTTGCTACACTTTATTTCATTTATTAAAAAAAAATGTTATACAAATTCTTTGATCCATTTCTTTTAACAAACGAGAGCTCATAAAAAGCACGTCGAACCTTAGCGACAGCTAAACATTTCATAGTACTTTGGTGTCATGTATGTCGACATAATAAAAAAAGTTTGCAATTTAACTATCCAAACCCGCGAAATTTTAAAACTCCCGTTATTTTCTGAACACACCTTACCTTTTGTTTAAAAAGTATTACTTATACGCCATGGCATCGCGTCTTAATAACAAAATGGTCTTCCTCCACAAATCTTGTCAACTGCTACAACTAAAGTGGGAATAAGAATATTTAAGAAATAAATTAAATGAGTTGTTTTAAAACAGAATTGTTTTAAAACAGATGACAAATACATATCGAAATTATCCAAGGCTAAACTTTGACAGAGCTCTCCATATGCGTATATATTCAAACTACTTACATTCAAAAACAATAATTTCTTAATTATTTATAACAACTTTGCCTGCAAAGCTATGAAAATGGTGCCAAGTTAAGAAAATACTTTTCGCAAACAACAAAAATTAAAAGTTCAACCGTATTAAATCAACATTTATAATTTTGAATATTTTCGCTTATGCACAAGCACACAAATATATATATGTATGTCTAAATGCTGGAATAAAATAACAATTTCACAACAGAATTCTTCCAACAATATTTCCACATAAAATTACTTCCTCTTACACACACACAGACACTTACAAACATAAACACACCTACTTTTTAATGGCCTCAAAAGCATACATGTGTGCAGTAGGAGAATAAACGCATTTGTGGCGAAAATCTACATACTTTTAACCTTACTTCAGTCAACCTTAATTAGTTTAACAACTTTGAACAAAGCTTAACGTTGAGCGCACAAATATTTAGAGAAAAATATTTAAGTTTCAGAAGTATGATAACTATTGTGCTACATAACTGTTAAGAGAGATAAACCGAGTCGTACTAATTAAACACAAGTTACCGCACAGAACTTCCGCTATCAAATTCCGCTCGTTTGCTTTCTCTCTACATGTGGCATTGCGAATGAAGAGACGCAAAAGTTGAGTTGTTATATGAAGCGTGGAAAATTGGTGCATACTTGTATTTAAATTTCGTAAATATTGGCGAGTGTATTAAATTGAAAAGTTTTCGACCAATTCTTGTTAAGGTTTATACAGAAATATACACATTTTATCTATAAAGTACTAAGACCTTTTGCTTAAAAAAGCTAGATTTTTTCTCAATAGTAGTTGCCTCAGCATATGACTTTCTCACTCATTACTCTCTTCAGACAATCTCTTCAGATGCTATCCCACATTCACTTTCTAACTTAAGCGAATAGTAGTATACCATTCAGCGCCACCATATAAAGATAATCATAGGAATAAGTGTATATATAAGACATTCTGAAATTACACAGCTTCGTATGTTTTAGACTAATAAAATGCTTCGAAAAAAGTATGCAATTTATATTCACAATTTACCTCTGTTTAACTCACATTACCGACAAATTAACAGTGCCTGTTAGAGACATTCCGAAATCCCTGGCAATAGATCAAGCTACTGCCATATTAAACTTGTCTGGATGCCTATCCACAGCGGATTCGTCGTAAATTGTTAAGACGATGAGTTTACAATGAAAGGCACAAATTCCATCAGGTTGGGAACGAGCAGGCGTTTCTGTCTTGTCCTGTCTTCGTGTACTCGTGGATCTCTGGGCTTTGCGCGAGCTCAGCAAGCGTTGGTTAGCAGTCACCACCTGTAGGTTTGCCAAAGCCTTCTGAATCAGAGTCTGACATAAAAGATGCATCGAACTGCTATTTCATAGCAATGCTCACATTGCCGCAATGATAAGGCGTCCTAACTAAATACAGTCCCATTGGCACTCAAGCAGTAAGGCTAAATACTTTGTAGTACGCAACTTGACAAAGTTGGAATGTGGAAGATGAGGTCGAAACATCTAAATACTTTCTCTTCGACAGTTCAGCTTTCGTTAGACTAAGGTTGAAACATTTTGGTTGCCATACTTTTTATGAACCCGCCGATTTGACTGGAATAGACATTAGCCGCCTCAATAAATTAGTAGCTGGCTCTAGACATACCTAGGAGTTCTGGGAATCACAATGGACAAGCGCCTCTAGCCGTCCATGTAAGATTATTCGTGATATCTGGAGAAATCAGCCTATTTACCGAACCTAATATTCGTCAAAACAACAGTGTAGAGGTATACGATTTGTAGAAGATTTTTTCACTGAATCTGAGGATGTCAAAAGCCAATGGAACATTTTCGCGTATTTTTCAGCCATGAAAAATATATTTTTTACAAAATCACGTAACCGTTTTCTAGTCGCCTATAACATACACAGCCTTAAAATAAACCAAGAATTTAGCATGAAGTATCAAATAATAGCTTTTGTTTAAAAAATACCAGTATCCATAACGTCTCTTGTATCAGTATTCGGCTCATGATCTTCTATTTCCGCTGGCAGGGCACAACTGAGTTTGTAAAGTATGATATCTCTGGCTCAAGCCCTCGGTACACCACTGTCTATCAATTTATGCTGAAAAGGTTAAAAAAGCTTTCGAACAAATATAAGCATTCTCATCTCAGTAAGATGATATATGGTTTATTTAAAGGCAATTTCTGTGTTCTAAAATACTTATTTCCATTTATCAGTGATTTATATACAAACATATATATACACATCGAAAACTTCCTTTCATTTTAAGCCATTATGGTAATCTCAATCAGCAATGAATGCGTATTACGAACTAGTACGACTCAAAGCTAATTTAATTTAACAATTTAGCGAAATAGCGAAATAGCAAACAAGCACCAGTGTCACCAATTTATTCCCGGTTTGTTGAACACTCTCCATACTAATTGAGAGCATCTTGTTTAAGTGTACGCTTTTGCGGTGTACTCAAGCGTACAAAGATATAGTTTTACTCTTTGCTAAGCTAGTTTAAATTTTTTTTTATAATTTTATTTTTATTGTTTTCTTTTCTATTTCTTTTTGCTACACTCCTCAGTGAAAAGCATCCACAAGCATCCACATACGAGTTTCGCAATAAAATTCAATATATTTTCTTACCCTACACTTAACGCATGGTTGCATTTGTTTCTGCTCTGGCGCCAAACGGCTACAGTTTTGTAGTTACTCTATATGTGAGTGTCATTCATTATATCTACATACATGCTATATATTGGTAACTTTGCTGGTCTGTAAATAAGTGTGTGTACCTATGTGTGCGTGTTTTAAGTTTACAGTGACAACCCCATTTATTTAGCTCAAAGTAAACACCAAAACAAGTAACCAACTAAAATGTATACGTATTTTCTACTCTTTTCATTGATTTCTACACTAACACATCAATTTATACACACGCACACATACATAAACATATATTGCACTTACATGAATGAATAAATGCAAACAAACGCTCAAACTCGAACAAACACACAGTGCTCACAATACTCAAGTCTATCAGGTGACACGCTCGGGACATGAGCATTGCGACGTTACGGAGGGTATACTATTGGATATAACACCGTTGGTTGTCGATGGCAGGAAACTGGTGACACTCTACGATAAGGATCTCACCGAGGGAGTCAACTTGCTAATTGGTGAGTAGCTCAACGGTTATAGCAACTATATATTTACAAACTTCATAAACATATACATGTATGTGTATGTGTAGTATGCATACAGTCTTTTTATGTACCCCATTTGTTAAGTTACCTTTATATGTATGTAGCGCTGAAAGTCCCCCAAGCATTCGCTACATGCATCACACATTTGCCCCCCATTTTATGCTATTTCACTTGGTTGTTGTTGTTGGTGTTATGTTTGCTGTCATTAGCTATCATACTAGCTTTTCAACGCCATTGGTTGTGGTGTGCGGAAATCGCTCGTAGAGCAGACCAGTGTGTTTCCGGTCGCAGCAAAGCAGCACCTCTGCCGCAGGCTTGATTGGTTATTAGTCGAGGCAAGTGCTTTGCATGGTCCAGTGCTGATATTAAATGCGTGTTGATAGTTTAATGCGTGCATATGCATACCGTCAGTATGTGTGCATTTGCGCGTATGCACATGAAGATATAAATATCACTCATACGCCATGGCGCATGGTGTGTGCATTGCGTCTACAAAATTAGGCCATCTGAAAGCATTTGCAAACGCAACTATACAGTTTTAAAAGCTAAAGTACTTTAATAACGGGTTATTGTGTTTGTGCTTTTATTGCGTATCTGCATGCTTATGCTGACACCTTATACCCAGCGCGTAAAATGGTCTAAACTGTTGCCGCAAGGCAAAAGAAAAATATGAAAAACAAGAAAAACCGTTAACTACGACTGCACCCAAGCTATAATAACCTTGACAGATGCATTTCTTATAGCATAAGAGTGTAGAAAAATATCATTATATTGATTTTGTTGGATCAGTTTATATGGCAGCTATATAATTTAGTGCTCCGATTTAAACCATATGCTTGGAGATTATAGTCCTACTTTATATAGTAATACATGCCAAATTTCGTGCAGATATCTCGTTTAATAAAAAAGTTTTCCATACCAAAAGTTAATTTAGATTTGACGAATTATATGGCAACTATACGCTATATCGATCCGATCTAAACAATATATTCAGAGATTGTAGCGTTGGCTTGGATAATAATCCATACCAAATTTCATGAAAATATCTCATCAAATAAAAAAGTTTTCCATACAATAAGTTTGGAGTATACAATTTCACTTTTGGCTTGCTGGACAAATTTCCAAGCGGAGTAATCATATTCAAGAGCAGAACGCTTGCTTATTTATGCAGCAATGACATAGCCTTCAGTTAGTCTAGCAATTTTTGCACACAGTTACTGCATTACCGTTCTAAACTCCACAGCAACATGCGCACAACGTCGTATTTAGATAAAGCTGGAATCGCATCAGCATTTGGCTAGCGCTCGCTTGACGCCGAGGGCATCATATATGTATGTGCTTTTTGGTGCCAATGTGACGTTTTAATGAAGTTGTCATTGCCGCATAATACGCCAGCTAGTGTTGGTTGACAATGGCATACCGCAAAACGAGAAAACTGAGAAAATTAGGAAAATGTGCAGCAACCAACAGTGAAATTTCAATTCTTTTTCATTTTCAACACTTGCCAAAGTTTTTTTTTTTCGTTTGTTTTTAACATAATTTCTACAATTTATACGCAAGCACTTTACACTACTTATTTACTTACAAGAATGCAAGTGTGCATTTTCTAACAAATATTTTTCAATTTCACGCTGCTTGCTTCAACTACCACATATATAACTATAATATTTTCTCGCACTGCAGTTGTTTCCGAGTTGTGGGGCACGCAGTGTGTTCGTCTGAAGGTCACCGCAAAAACCGACAATTGTGGCGAAAGCGCTGAATGCTCTGGCAAAGGTGTGTGCTACTCAAATTCAGCGATGGAGGAGTATGAGTGCCAGTGCTGCAGCGGTTTTGCTGGTCCCCACTGTGAGGAGATTGACGCTTGTACGCCCAGTCCATGCACCAACAATGGCATTTGTGTTGACCTTTCGCAAGGGCATGAGGGAAATTCATATCAATGCTTGTGTCCATATGGTAAGTTAAATAATTATTGTTTTAATTGGAAAAAAAGAAAAAATAAATAAATAAAATATGTACGCAAAAATACTATAAGTAAATAAGAGTAAGAGAGTCGATAAAATTATAAAACGAAGCGCTGTGTGGAAAAATATCAAATACGTTTAAAACTATTTCTATTATACTCCTCTTACCACTTTTTTCATCAAAGCGCCGCTACAAAATTTTAACGAATTTTTAACAGCACAAGCAACTCTTTTAAATAAAAAAAAATTATGTCGGCTTCAGCAAATTTAAAAATCAGTATTATCACTTAAAAAGCCGTAGAGCAAATCGTAGAACAAATCTAAACTCTATTAGCCACCATCTGCCGTGCCGCATAGTCTGCTCAAATTTAATGTGATTTTATAATAAAAAACTTTATTATTACCAATTTACTCCAACTATTTTCTACGTTTCCATTAACCACACTCCGACTCAGCAGTCTTTAGCTTTTAGTCTGTAGGCAAACCAACCAACCCATCAAGTAACAACAATTCGTTGAATTCAGCGCGACCACTCAGCTGGCCGACCAAATAAGCAGGCAACATTGTAAGCTGCCATTGGTGGTCATTCGCGCTAATTAAACTCAATTAGGGTTACTATAGAAAAAAAAAAATATTAAATTGGTACAACAATGCAACCACTTTGAAGGTATAGCTACAAAAGCAGAAGTAGAGCAAGACTAAAGAAGAAAAATGGAAAAGGGAGAGATTAAAAGTACGAAATGAAAAATGTATGCATAAGCGCACATTCGACGTAAGAAGACGCAACGAAAGGCACCGAATGAACGACCGGTTGAAAATATGAAGCACACTTTGTGGACACACTGCTATGCTTGCTCAAAGGCGGACATAGCAAATTGATGACGACGTTTGTACTACAATATTGTTATGAAAAGGGTTTTTAAACATAACGCTTGAAGAATTATGAAATTAAATGGAAAACAGCTGGTTACAACTAAAAAACAAAGGCAAACACAGCTTATACGTTTTACTTCATTATGGGCGAATAGAAAAAATCTCCACTCAATATTAAAGCAAAGAAAATATTAATAGCTGACAGAAAAAAAAGAAAAACAATTACAAAAGAAAGCAGCAGCATGTACATAGTACAGCGGCAATAAAATAAGTAGAAAACTAAAATGGCAGCTAAAGATGGTTTGGTATGGAAAAATTTTCCTGCTGCTGATTTTATTTCGGCCAATTTCCGTTTCCGTTTCGTTTTCGTGTGATTTTAAAGCAGTTAGTTGAAAGCATTTAGTTGCCATATTAATTGATATGAAAGTGATTTCAATTAAAGCAGGCGAAGTGACGCTATGTGAGCTAATTTACTGCCTCTTCATAACACTGCGTGAGAAACTCGCGTTTTCGAACGCAGCAAAATCACGTAGATAGTGTCAACCGATACTCTCTCGCACTTACTACATTTTTCAGTTGTTCTTAAGTAAAATCACAACGTTTTCACGCTTCGAACGCATACAGTCGTTCAAACATAGGAAAACATATCATAAGCTCAAACCACAAAATGCTGCGAGCGAAAATTATATAGCTGATATACAACCACACACTCTCAGAATTTGGACACATTATGTGTAAGACCCAAAAGCGTATATAATCCGTTTAATTCTATTTTCATATCGCTTCATTAATTATTGTTGTGGCATTAGTGAGTGCATGCAATGCGTTATGATAACCCCAATGCACAAAGGGATTATAAGGTTAATTAAAGATGAATGCCTGAGGCAAAACTAAAAATTCTGATTGATTTTCAACTATTTTCAAAAAGCAGCACTGTAACTGGAAATATGAGTTAGTAGAGATTTAATTGAATTTATAAGCTTCAACTCTAAAATACAAAAAAATATTTAATTAGTGGCTAATAATATTGAGCAAAACAAATAAAAATAATATTTGTAAAAAATGTTTGAGTTTTGGAACTATCTTTCATTATATTTCATACTAATACAGCTTCAAATAGAATATTTTCCGATATATATAATTAGATAACAGAAAAAATAATTATGTCATCAGCACTTTTCTTCGAAAGGTAATACATTTCAAATTGTACGAGCCTAGTCTGAAATGATTAGCTGGCATACACCAATACATACAAAAAGGCTAAACTGACGTCAGCGACTAAAACAAGAAAACACGATCACTTCGGTTGCGCCGAAGCTATAATATTCCTCACAGATAAAAATCGATTTCAATCGGTTTTATATGGCTGCTATATGTTAAAGTAATTCGATCTGTACAATATATATGTGGAGATTGTAACATTGTCTAAGACAATAACCCATGCCAAATTTCGTGAAGAAGTAAACTAAAAAAGTTTTCCATACAAGGACTTGATTTTGATCGGCCAGCTTGTATGGCAGCAATATGCTACAAGGGTTCGATGTCGGCATTTCTGAAAAATGAGCAGCTTCCTGAAGAGAAAAGGAAGTGTGCAGAATTTCAAATCGATATCGCAAAAACTACTGGCTGCAAGAGAATTTACATACTGAAACTTCGGTCATAGCTCGGTGGGTAATGGCGGTTTGGCAAGCACCGACTATCAATTTGAGAAAGAAAGGTTCAGAGTAAACCTAGAAAAAGCTGGTTGGCATAAAGGTGTGTTAACTGCGTGCAACGCATTAAAATTAATACAGTAGGTTCAAATATGGGTAACGGAGTTGGTGCGGGATATACTATCCAAATTTAAGCATAAGGCAGCCATTTAAGTTGACGTATCACTGCAGTATGCCATATTCAAGCAGAGCTAAAGAGTAAAGCCGCGGAGCCAGCCTCTACTGCATCAGCAGGCAAGTTCGCAGTCAATATCTACGTAGACAGTTAAACAGCAATCAACTCAATAACCACGTGTCGCATATTGGCCAGAAGCATTTGGGCAGCATTGGAGAATATCGCCAGGAATAAGCGACTTCACTTCTATTGGGTGCCAGGTCACAAAGGTATCACTTTCAATGACATAATGGATGGAATGGTATACGGCTGTCATCCGATAACGTGACCGATATGATGTAACAGGATGCAAAACTGCAAAGGCTAAATCAAAGTTCCTGCTCGATCGAAGAGACTATGGGTATATGATTAGAATACGCACTGGTCACAGTCTGGTGGCGCTATATGCCTGCGGAACGCGGCTGACAGATCAAGATGACTGCAGTAAATGTCAAGGGCAAGTCACTAGAGAAATAAAAGAGCAACTCTTGTGCGGTTGTCTCGCACTAGCAAGGCAATGCTTCAAACATTACGAAGCCACAAGGTATGAAACTCTGGAAAAGGTGTCAATAGTGAGGCCACACGCAAACCCTATTGAAATTCACGTCAAGCGCTGGTATGTTGAAGGATAACTACTTCTCATAAACTACGTAACGACACTCCTAAGCACCAAAACTGGTCTTTGCGAGGCTAATGAGCCTACCAAACTAACCTAACTTAGTTCGCGTATATACAGACAGATAGACGAACAGAGAGACGAAGATGGTTGAATTAATTCAGCTGATCACAGCGACTATTTATATATATACTTAATTGAGTCGCCGACGTTCAGGGTATAATAAATTGTCAAAATGAAAAATACAAAAAACAAAATGGTGAAAATTTCTGAGCACAAAACAGTTCTTATTGCTGTTACAGCTCTTGACTTGTGCATAGTTTCTCATACAAATAAAAAAAATTAAATTATTTACGTTTAGTTTACATCACCTAAAAATAAATGTTAACCACCATTACTGAAATATTGTTTCATGCATTATGTTGCAGGTTACACGGGCAAGAATTGTCAATACGAGTCGGATCCATGCAATTCGGCGGAATGTATGAATGGCGGTAGCTGTGTGGGCAATTCGACACATTTCAGGTAATACTTAAACGAAACAGACATAACTCACTTTATTATAAAATATTTATTTATCTTAGTAATGAGATTTGAGGTTATTATTATTTATAAAAAGCTAATTGCAGCTAATGCAACTAAAATATATAATATATAAATAAGTGCTGTTGTGCATAAAAAATCAATAACCAAATGCAACTGGCATTTCTGCATAGAAACATATATGTGTGCAAATGCATTTCACTCACAACATTTCACACTGAAAAACTTCACACAAACAACATTTACACAGTCGCTTTAATTCAATAGACACGCCAACGCATTGCCGAGAAGAGAGAGTGTGGGAGATAGTGACTTTTGCGATATATGCACGACCACAATTGAACAATACAAACGCCACAATATATGCGCAATACGACAAAACTGTCAATTAAAACTACAACAAATTTGTATATACAACAATTAAAACCACAAAAAGACAAAAACAACAAGCGCAAGTTTCGCTTTGCGGCATTTAATTGAGCAAAAATAGGCGCGGATTTATTTGTGTGTGCCTATAACACTTTACACACACACACATATATATACATATATATATTTGTACCTGCAAACATATACACACACCTAACTGCATATTTGCTTTTGTATTTTCCGCGGTATTTCGCGTGATATAGTGCACATATTTGCTAACTTTCCGTTAGTTTCACAAGCAAACACTGCACTATGCATGTGTGCGTGTGTGTGTAACCTCAAAAAGCATTGGCAGCATTTCCCACACTCACCCACACAAACCACAATTGCGTACACATATGCAGGGTTGCATTTATTATAAACTATTGTATTTTTGTCTTTTGTCTTTTGTTTATTTTAAATTCGACTGTTTTGTTTTGCGTACACAGATGTGACTGCACGCCTGGCTATACGGGCCCACTGTGCCAACACAGCCTCAACGAATGCGAATCATCACCATGTGTACATGGCATTTGTGTGGATCAAGAGGATGGATTCCGTTGTTTCTGCCAGCCGGGTGAGTATACAATATTGTTTGTGATCATTGCTTTTCACGATGTTATTTCACTTGACTTTGTGTTATACTGGGTGTATGCGGGTGCCCGTGCGGTGCCAACAGCGCCAAAGTGACTTTTGACACAGTTGAAGAACAAGTGTATTAAAGCGTATATATATTTATTAACTATAGAGAAATCAACCAGCTGCATTTCGGCGTTGAAAATGGAATTTTTCTGTTGTTATAACAAAATTCTTGGGCGTGGTACTTATAAAAGTAGTGAACTTACTTATAATAAAATATAATAACGTGCAGAAAATTAGGTGAATGATGACATCGGAACTTAAGAGTTTTTTCATTGCTGTAAAAAATCTAAGCGACTTCATTCAAAATTAGTTTATACATGCCAAATTTCATGAAGATATCTTGCTAAAAAAAGTTTTCCATACTAAGATTTGTTTCCGATCGATTAGTTTATATGGCAGCTATATGCTATAGTAGTCCGATCTGAACAATATTTTTGGAAACTGTAACTTTACCTTGAACTATAATTCATGCCAAATTTCGTGAAGATATATTGTCAAATAAAAAAGTTTTCCTTACAATAAACTGATTTTGATCGATCAGTTCTTATGGCAACTACAAGTATATCCTATAGATGGACGGTCAGACAGAAATTAAAAAAAAAAAGATTATAATAAACCGCATTTTTAAATATTAGATGAAAACTCAACATCGCTGTGACTATTTTTAAACGCGACCAAAATAGTTTGAAGTTAAAAATAATTCACTCAGATGAATGTCATTTCAATAGTATTCAAATATTTATAAAAGCCTCACCATTCAAGTTTGAAGAGCCAGCCAAAAATATTCAAATTTCAAAATCCTAACTAGTGTACACTTCAAAATCTCAATTCGATTGATTTCCCAGCCATTCGGCAAATAATTCCACTCACAGTTTTTTTTTTTGTTTTTGTTTTTTTTTTGTTTCGATTCTAATTCCATGTGAACTTGGTATTATTGCATGAAGGTACTGTATTATTCATGGCCCACTATGTGGGGGGGTGTATTGTTTGTGCAGAGAAGCGCGTATTGGATTGCGTTGGTTTTGCACGCGAATTCGTTGCAAAATGAAATCACAATAAAACGTACGCACACATTGTCAAAACCAAGCGCACATACATATCTAAACATATATATGTATATGCATATAGTAAGTGTATAGATTAGGGTGGGTCAAAAAAAACTAATGCTTTTTTTTCGCTTCGTACTCTGAAAAATTGGTTCATAGACATCGCTAAGAAAGACTCTTTAAATATGAGCTCCTTATTAAAAGGATAAGATACTTCACGTAACGGTTTTATATTTTATTCTTATCAACAAATAGAAAAATGGATATTTCGCCTCCAACTATTTGAAAACATATTTAGTTTTCATAGATTTTGTACGAAATGAAATGCTCTATAAAATGGTCTCTAACGATTTTTTCGAAAACTTAACCGTTGTAAAGATATTAACGGTTGAAGTTCGACTTTTTTAAGGCGCATATGCTTTTTTCTTCTGAATTTTATAACTTAATGAAAAAACATCAGTTTAAATTGTAAAGTTCATAGGCTTGTAAAAAATTTACTGCTTTACAAAAATTATCCCTTCTTTTCTCTTTTTTTTCTTTTTTTTTCTTTTTTGTTTCCATTTGATAGGCATTGATGCTTGACGATGAATATCTCATAAACGCCTAATCTAATCGAAAAATTCTGCAGACAATTTTTTTGGGCTGAAAATTTCCTACAAGACTATGAGCTATGCAATTTAAAATGAGTTTTTTCATCAAATTATAAAATTTAAAAAAAAAAAATTTGCCTTAAAATAGTCAAACTTCAACGGTTAATATCTTTTAAAGGGTTCGGTTTACGAAAAAATCGTAACAGACCTCTTTTGAAGACCTCTTTTTACCCACCCTAATATAGTTGTATAGATATATATATGAATATGTACGCAGAGACAAACAACCCTAACCGCAAATAACGTGAATAGCAAACGACAGCGCATCACATTCACTTTATTTGACATTCAAGAGCCCGCATGAAACAAACAAATTAAATTCACGAATTGTTTCGAGTGCCAAGCAAGACTTCGATGGTAATGGTGAATACTGAATGAGTGCTTTGAGTGGCAAATGTTGTAAGCTGGCAAAATGAAAAATTCAATTAGAATGCAGTAAATTGTCACACAAATCAATATGTACAATATTCAAATTAGCTACGAGTGAAAATGCAATAAGCGAAGTGAGTGTGACATTTGGGCATTGCCAAAAAACCACAAAAGTAAAATAAAAAACAACAAAAAATAATAATTTAAAAAAAAATTATAAAAATAATAAAATAAAATAGTATAAAAAGGTAGTAGAAAAAGCAAATAGTTGAAGAAGGTGCGCAAATATAAATCACACAAATGCCACACAAAAATTCAAAACATCAGCATGTAAATTTCTCATAGCACAAAAAATTGTTAAGAGGCAAAAAAATGTATGAAAATGCAAATGCGCACCAACAACTGTCTGCGTCCCAGCGCCACAAAAAGTATCAACACAAAGTATAAACAATATTTGGGTAAAATATTCCAGCGCCACAGCCACAACTGTCAAACGACTGTGAACCCAGTGGCTACTTATTGAAGCTTTGACTGGCGTTATTTTCAATTTGTGAATTTTGTGGTTTGTTCCCCGAGGCATGCCCTCATCAACAATGCTTCGTTGATTCCAACCCCAATAAAGCCCAATATATACATATATTATGCCAAATAAATAACTTTATGCTAATGAAATTACAAAAATAAAGTAAATGCTTAGGGAATAATAAGACGGTATCTATTTGTCTAGAGAAAACATAATAAAAAAAGAAAACAAGTTGGAAAATCTTGAGAGTTTAAAAGCTCTCACAATTTTAAGAATTAAAGACTTGTAAAATATCTGACTTAGAAATATCTGATAAAATTTATTGTAAAAGAAATTTTATATGAAATTAGCCATAATTTTTGGCGTGAAATTAACTTAACGTTACGATAATAAGATCGCTTTTATTCACCAAAATATCTACAAGATTATGAATGGGAATAGCTGCTCTAAAGAATATCGTATTAGTGGAATTGAAAAATCTTATGGGAGCTAGGGTAAAATATTTTGGGGTAATATAATGTCCCGGAGGCACAACTGCTGTATATGGGAAGCATCCGCCTGCAAACTGCAGATACGTTGAAGTATTTAGAGCCTGATCAAGATATGAACCTTTCATGGAAGCCTTACACCGAGGAGAGATCATAGGGGGGCATTGATAGCCGTGCACTGCTACAGAGGAGCCATCGGCGAAATATGAGTTACCGAAAGTAGTTCTCTAGCTTAAGACACAATAGTAAAGCCCATTATGTTCTATGGAGTCTTTGTGTGGTAGAGGGTCTTAGAAAAGACCACACTTGCAAGGAAGCTCGTGAGCGTTCAATGAGCGGCGCTCATCAGCATGTGTGATGCACTAAAGTCCACACCAAATATGGCACTTTAATGCCATTCTACATATTATATATTGCTATCACAAGCAAAAAACCTGGATTTCCAAATGAACATGTGTTTGAACTTTCGAAAATCCTATAACACGATTAGACTTGATACTGGATCTTTTGGATCATGGAGTCGCCAAACTAAACTCCAACGGATCTTAGTCTGCCTATATACCTGCAAGGGATTTGTGGATTGGTAAAAGTCATTGGAGGAGAGGGATCAAAGCTTGGGGGGATGAAGGTTAGTGGAATGGTATATTGTCAGGGACTCTGTATCAACTTCAGTGGCAGACTTTCTGACTAGTATAGTAGTAGTATTTTTTAAGCCGACGTTGCAGCCATTAACGAGCGGTAGATTTACTGCAATCTCTTTCAGAGAAGTGACTATCTATTCTGATAGGCGGCGATACTTGCTTTGAGCTCACTGACCGTGCGTTCATGGCTGGTTAGGGAATGTCTAATCTCGTTATCTATGGCATCAAATTGTGATATGACCAATTGCAGATAACTGTAAAGCTGACCAGCTGCAAGCAACGGCACCCTAGCCCCGCTATCAGTAAAATGGGAACGAGTTGAGACTCCACTTTCTCTTTACTCCTGTATTCTACTACTGGATAACTGGGTTTCGCAGGAGCTAGGCCAGCTCTGGACTACCATTGGTTCATGCTGACTCAAGATCCTTTTGTCCCAAGATCGATCGTAAGAGATTCATTGAGTTCTTTTACCTTTGTAAAGCTAGCTTCTTTCTAGTTGTTGGACTTCTAGCAGGTCGTTGCTCAATTGACGTCCTGCGCGGATGTAAGGTTGAGAATGGAAGAAGACGAGGTGGAAACATCTCAACACTTCATTCTTGATTATCCCCCTGATCAGTTTCAGATATTCCACTGATTCAGATACTCCACATTTTATACATTTTTGGTACAAAACACATTACTTTCACAAAATTTCATTAATAGATAAAACTTTCTAACCAAGTTTTACTGTGTATATATAGTGCGGCTATGGAAAAGATCCAATCAGAAAATTACTCTTTAACCATCCATTATTATTACCTGATTTATCATCTCTTCCGATCCATTTTTATACACTGAACAGGGTATATTGAGTTTGTCACGAAGTTTGTAACACCCAGAAGGAAGCGTCGGATACCCTATAAAATGTACTTATAAATGATCAGCGTAACGAGTTGTGTCGATTAAGCCATCTCCGTTTGTGCAGTTGTCTATCCGTCTGTCTGTATATACGCGAACTAGACTGTCAGTTTTTGAGATATTGATCTGAAATATTGCATTAATACTTCTCTCACAAGAAGCTGTTCATTTATCGGTACCGCCGATATCGGACCACTATAGCATATAGATGTCATACAAACTGACTGGTCAAAATCTAGTTCTTTGAGGAATCTTTGGTATTTGTGGAGGGTACATATTACAGCTTTGATGGAAACGAAGTTAATTTTTTTTTCTCTTTTTAAATAACGGAATGCATTTTATAAGGTGTAAAGCGACTGCAGCTATGATATACAAAAGATAATATATTTTTACGCAACTTATTTTATGTGCTGCCGAATATGTTGCGCATCTTATTTATTATCCCTTATGTAAATATAATAAACTGTGTGGTTATCAACTGGCAACGCTGCCACATAATACTCAGTCAGTATTTAAGGTACATAAATATTGGGAAATTCTTTCACCGGTTTTTATTTACTTAATTAAACGCAGGTAATTTGTGGCAGTCAACCTCGAACTCCACAGAAATGCAATTTTTTTTAACTGTATAGCGTCAACTTGCCACATACCTTATGCAACTTACTGCACAAAACTGACTTACAACTTCGCAAACATTTACTTTTTTGGCACACATTTTCCAGTTCATAAATCAACGGGGACATATCATCTGCATAAATCTCATTAAAAGCATTTCCATTAGTTTTCATTTCTTTGCACGATTGTGCCAATACTGTATGTATTCTTTCAACTCAATTTTTTTTTTCCGCATTCTCTTTCATGTCTTTCGTGTTATATTGCCATGCCAAAACGCCTGCAACTACCGATTGCCTCCACCGTTGCGACATGCAAACATACACAAACATACATACATACACATCATTCAATAATGGTTTGTTGATTACGTTCATCTACGGTGGCATCACAGGATTCGCTGGTGAACTCTGCAATTTTGAATATAATGAATGCGAATCGAATCCATGTCAGAACGATGGCGAATGCATCGATCACATTGGCAATTTCGAATGTCGCTGCACCAAAGGATACACTGGAGCGCGCTGCCAAATTAAGGTAAGCAGCATGTGTACATATATGTATATATACCTCTACCATATATGTGTAAGTGCTTACATATGTATGCATATATTATTTTTAGTTTTTTTGTTGTTGCATTGGTAGTTAAAAGCAGCTAAAAGCAAGCAGCAATGGCAAACTCAATTATGTATTGTCACATGTTACATAAAGAACTTAATTTGTTGCCAACTCTGGGCGTCTGTGGTAAACGTGTGGTTGACGATATTTTCTTGTCATTCTCTACTTGTCTCACTACTTTTTACAAATGTCAACATTATTCTCAAAATGCAATTCTTTTTTGTATTTTATTTTTATCATTTCAACATTCATTTATTTTTTGTTATTTTTGCTTGATATCTTTTCTTTACTTTTACCTTTAATTTATTCTTGGTTTCGTGTACAGTTGCATTGGAATTCGTTCAAGCTGTTCTTGCTTTAAACCCGCTCTCAAACGCTCACGCACTCTTGCATTTGTTCTTGTTGTAATGACAGAAAATATTTATCAAATAAATATGTGAAATTTGGCCGAGTTGAAACCCTCGCCGTATAAAATGCTCGATTCCGTTTCAGTAAGACAGACCCGACTGTCGTGGGAATTAACACATGACTTTACTGCTTCTACGTTACATCAAAATAGCATGATTTTGATAGACGGGAGACTATAATTCTTATTCTCTCGCAACATGTTACTACAGAGTATAATAGTTTTGTTCACCTAACGGTTGTTTGTACGAAGGTTGCCTTTTATATTAGGGGTTTAGAGAAAATATTCTCCAATAAGATCCATACACTCTTGCATGTGTTTGAACCAATTGTTAAAGCTCTTTTGCCACTCTGATCGAGGGATCTCCAAAACATGTGTTCTGAACACATCAGTCGCCTCTTCAGGTGTCGAAAAACGTTAACATCTTAGTTTATTTGTACGGGAATAAAAATAAATCATGCGGTACCAAGTCAGGACTATACGGTGGATGACTCATCAAATCGCTGTTTTGAGTACTCAAAAATGCAGTTTTTTCAGTCGATGTGTGAGAGCTGGTATTGTCGTAGTGAAGAGTAATCCGTATTCGGCAAATTTCTGATTTCTTGAAAGACAACTGGCAAACAAATGGTTGTGTACCACTCAGAATTTACTGTTCTGCGTTGTTCTAGTAGTATGGTTGCGAAGTGACTAGTTTTTTCCAAAAAAACAGGCAACCATTTATTTGGAAGTGCTTCTTCTTTTTATCTGGAAATACCCATACAGTTGGCTGCTGTTTATTTTCGGGCTCCTTCATCACCTATCACGATGTCACAGACGTATTTCGAAGCATCGCTTTCGTATTTTTTTAACATTTCTTTCGATCAATCGATACAAGTATATTTTGAGCAATTGACAAATTGTGTGGAATCCAACGTGAACAAATTTATTTTGCAGTCAAATATTCCTGCAATATTGGTATGATGATCCCACTAATGCCTATAGTTGTCTTAATCTTATGATAGGTCACATGACGATCTTACAATATTAGTTTGCGCACAGCATCAATAGTTTCCGTAGCAACAACTGATTTTGGACGACATTCACAAAATCAGTCTTGGAGTGATTTTCGATATCGATTGAATTTACCATATCATCGATAAACACTGGTCTGTGATAAAGCTTCATCGCCAAAAATTTAATTAAGTTCACCGTTGCACTGTTACTGAGTTGGTCCTCGTCGAAATTTGTAAAAAATAATCGCGCGAAAATGTTCGCAATTTAATACCATTTCTTGGTCGAATTGAACATTTTAAGTTAATGTCAACAACATAAATAACGCTTGTGTGTCAAAACATTCTGAGTGTGCATAACTTCAAAAATGTCATACTTTACGATAAATTGTGAGTTGCCAGATGGCAAAACTAAGGTTGCCAAATCTCAAATACAAAAAGCAAGATTTTGATAGACGGTAGACCACGATTTGTATATTAGTAACCAAATCTCTTTGATGGCTTAATTTTTTCATAAAATAACTCATTCTCTAGTGTAATCAGTATATTAAGAACAACATTCGTTCTCTACACTTCTAGTATTGTATTAAAATCATATTTTTTATAAACATTTCGGGCAGCAGTTAAAAATACCCAAGTCATCTAACTGACTCTACTGATTTTTTATTAAAATGTATGAGCAAAGGCTCTCAACTACTACCGTTGACTTTATATCCGCTGTATTTTGTTATCCTCTTACTCTTTTTGTTTACTAATATACTCTAATTGCAGCTATAACACACAAAATTTTATGTCCTTCTAAATTTATTATGAAATCTCCTGCAGAAACACTTACTCATATATACCGAATATATATGTATATCCAATATATTTACCCAGTTGCGCTAACCGTCACCTTCTCTTGTCCGTTACTATTTAGGTGGATTTTTGCGCTAACAAACCCTGCCCCGATGGCCATCACTGCATTGACAATGGAAACGATTTCAGCTGTGAATGCCCGGGAGGACGCAATGGCCTGGATTGTAATCAAATGCCACGAAAGGTAAGTCGCAATTTATGTAAGAGAATTTTTATTTTCGCCAAACAGCAAATACATATAAAAACACCCACAAATGCTATAGATACGAGGCCGCCAGAACCAATGAATTTTTATGCAGAAAGCGATTTTGCTGCACACGAATTAAACAAATTAAAAGTGGCGAGATTTTCATCAGCCTAAAACGAATCTAATTTCGGCTTAGTTAAAAGATAAGCTTATCTGAATCAAGCGCGTTTAATTTTGCAATAATATGTATAAATTTTATTAAAAAAATATACATATGGAAACTTTTGAAGTCCGGAGTAGCCTTAAATTCCGTTGCTCATTTCATTTTGAATTCTCTACAGGTGCTCAGGTTTGCTCTCGCATGCTGTTTACTCGCATTTAGTTGCCGTTCGCTATTTTTATTGCTACTGCTGGCATTTCGTTGCTCTAAAATACGAGTATGCAAATAAGCACGGTAGCCGGTTAGTTTACCTACATACATAAATACATATAAACATACTTGTATGAATGTGGTTATATGTGCGTTATTAGTTTTGCTCAGCTACCAACAGAATTTTTAAGCTCGCTTTTATGTTTCTCTTTTATTTAGTTTTTTGAGTGCGTTTATTTGATTTTTTGTGCAGATGAAATAGCACGTATACATATGTACATATGTAAAGTAAATACGGAAAGCCAATTACAACAAATTTTTTTCTCCAGTTTTATGCTTTTTGTCTAGAAATTAGCTCAAACGAAAAGTAACTTTTTGTATCTCTTTAGCTGAAGGAAATAATAAATATTTCAACAAATCTTTTCGACTTTGTGTTAGACTAGTATAGTCTCGCGGTCATTTGATGGCTGTACTCATTTCTAGCTGTTTTTATATTCTCGCAACATGTTGCTAGAGAGCGTGTAATAGTTTTGTTTAACTAATGATTGTTTGTTGTCACCTAAAACTAATCAAGATTGATATGGAGTTGTATATATTCGTATATAAATGATGAGGATAATGAGAAGAGTTGAGATTTGAGTGACTGACTCTCCGTCCGTCTGTCCGTAAAAGCGTTAACTTAACTAAGAATTAAGATATATGCATGAAACGTGCTACATACATATGTATGTATGTTTCTTGGCATCCAAAGGAGGTCGGATAGGCAGATGGGCACAATCAGACCACTGTCACGACCACATAACACCATTAAAAGAACACCTATAAAGTGCCATAACTAAGCATTAATTTAAGAAACCAAACTGTAATTTAGTACAGGGAATCGTGGTAGCCAGGAACAACTGTGGGCTAAAAAATTTATAATAGCGGCGCATCACATGCATTGAACCAAGATGATGCGGAAGGCTTTATAGGGGCACTTGTAAAAACTGAATAATAGACGTGACTTCGCCCACTTTCAACTGACTCTATATTCTCCTGCCTAAAATGAACGAAATCAAGGCAATACTTTCCCTACTTTAATTTAAAGTTTCGTCAACCCCTGAAAGTATTTCTCCGGCTTTGATACTTGCAAGTTCCGAGAGTATAAAATGCTCGGTTACACCCGAACTTAGCACTTTCTAACTTGTTTTTTTTTTTTTATATATTTATGGTTCGGAAACATAAAAGAGTGCGAAGTAAAATATGTCTTTAAGTTTAAGAAACCGAAAGCACTTTGTCTTACAACAAAAAAACCAACTGTCATAAATTTACGACATGACAAAGACACGCTACACAAAACAAAAATATCTAAAATATCTATGAACACGCTGACATACTAAATATTAAACATCATTTATCGCGTAAATTATCACGAGGGCTTAACAAAACGTCCATAATTTCTGCAAACTCGCTTCCTGCTAAAATAATTAAGCACATTTATTATCATTTGCACCATGCTAACCTCACATTAAAACGTCATTATAGCAACGTCCGCACGACTGATGGTAGCACTAACTTTGATATTCACACATACATATCTTAACATATGTATGTATGAACAGCCAGGCTGGTACATATATTTGCGTGGTACATATTTTACACATTAGAAAATTTACTGGCATAATTATATTTTACTTTTCACTTTTTGCCTTACTATAACTTGCACACGCCCCCTAACTATCGTTACAGCAATGCGCTGAGAATCTCTGCAAGCACGGCGGCACATGCTGGACCAGCGGAGCCTCCTTCTACTGCGCCTGCCGACCGGGTTACACCGGCAATATGTGCGAAGGTGAGTAGTCTCTATATATATGAAATATATATCTATGTGTACTGGTCCTGTAAGCGCTCGGGTGTATAACTAAGCATAATTTGGGCGATAGCATCACTGGCAGTAGTCCGGAAGCCGCAGTCGCACCACAGTAGTGTGGTATATAAATAGGCGCTTGACACTTGCGCGTTTATATGTCGGACTGGTGTCATGCATAATTTTTGCCATTATGCCAAGTTGTAAAATTAATTATTTAAAACGGCTGGTTTTCGCAGAGAAAGCAAAAAGCAACGTTGATGTATAGCTTTCAAGGCTTACTATTAGTAATAGCTCACCGACGGCGCTTAAAAGTATGCTATAATGAAATGTGGTTTATTATATTAAAACGAAATACTGCTAGCCATTAGGCAAATTTATTATTTCGGTTAACTGCTGTGAGGATTTTTTTTTGTTTTTTGTAATTGTTAAAAACATTAAATAATTTGATTTGTCTATAACAATATTGTTTTTAATTCGTTTTTTAGTATTATAAGTATATATCTTTGTCAAATGCATACTTAGCGTTAATTAATTTTACTACTTTACTAATTTCTACACTCCACTCATGGCACTATATATCTGTCTTTCTCTCTCTGCACTTTAATTTCGCCAAATCTTGCTTTACTACTTTTGCGTATTCAACATACTTAACACTACTTTTCACATTCCTCGCTGCAGACGAATTTGTTGTGGAGACGGTCGTTAGTTCCAGCGAGTTTATGGTTGACGATACGAGCGCCAGAAATTTTAATGACAAAACTTTCGGTTCATCGGTTGTGCTAAAGAGCCCCATTGAATTGCATAATGCATACTTTGGTGCGGGTGTGCTGGCGGCAGCCGTTTTTATTGTGGCCGTTGTGGTAAGTATCTCAGTGTATATAGTCTATTTTAGCGTCTCACCATTATCGTTATTTTCTCACACTAACGACATGAAGTATACTTCAGATCTCTTCGTGAATGCAAATTACAAAAGTATAAAGAAACGTGTGTGTGGCTTGTGGGCTCATTTAATGCTAAATTATGTGATACTTTGCGAATTCCTCAAAATCATTATCAATGCCAAAGCATCCTCATCAACATACTTATAATTTGTCTGCATGACTACGTCCGAATATTTCCTTTTGAATTACCACTTTCCACATTTTATTGCTTCTTTAGACGCTTTCATCTAACATATGCACTTAGAGGGGACATCGTTCTTGTGGGCTTATACTAATCCAAGAGTGTGAAGAACATTGGCATTGAATTGTCTTGGTGTGATAAGGAAGCTCATGTAGCCTCATGGCTGCACAAATTTCGTAATCGCTTCTTAATTACATTATAGTTTTTTGGCTTTCGGATTTGAAAAGCTTCTAAGCATTCTTTTTAATTACAATATAGTTTTTGTTAATCCGAAATTGAAGCGTTTTTCTTCTTCATTTGTGACGAAAGCTCCAGAAAAGTTGTGAATGAGGCTACAGTAGTCTAGAAGTCATTTAGTTACCTTGTTTCGCAATTTGTCGCCAGTCGTTTTCATTAGATCCTAGTTAGCTTCCATTTTACTTCTTAAAAATTATTACTTATGCCATATCCTCAAAAGCAATAGTAAGATTTTTCATTTTAAACTTTCAGAAAAAGTGTGCAAAAATTGCTTTTGAGGATATGGCATAAATAATAAGATTTAGTAAGATTTTCATTTGAAACTTTCAGAAAAAGTGTGCAAACATTGCTTTTGAGGATATGGCATAAGTAATAAGATTTATATACGAGTATGTTCTCGAACAACCCCAACTCTGCATCCGGATTGTTATTGTTGTAAATATTAGAGTTCATTGGGCATGCAAAGAGGTGGAGAGACTCTGCATAGTATCCAGAACGAAGTTGTGCAAAGGTCGCTCGAGATTCTCGGGGCAACACGAGTTCTTCGTCTGCAATGGGTGGTAGTGTGACTCCAAATACGTCATCCACTGAAAGAGAGTCGGTGAAACTGTGCACGGCTCCAATGTGAATGGCGGTCAGTGCATGTCTAAAATTTGTTTCTTCCAAAGTCTGGTCGACGTACTGTTCGATGTCGTGCACGTAATCAAAAAACAATATCTTTTGATGTTCCTAGCAGGCGACAACCGAATTATCGTCCACGATTCTTCATCAAAAACCGCTGAAAAAAGTTGAGTTGAGAGAAGTTTTTATACGTCGAGCGACAACTTTTACTTCGGTGTTGTAAAATTTTATGAAACACAGCTTGACAACAGTCATTTTATAAGCTCAGGTTCTGATTTCTTAATAGACTACTACTAGTCTAAATGATCTAAATCGACTGCTTTTCTGAGGACAGACGATATTTGTATTATTCTCAATCTCCACTACAATCGGCAGTCAGTTCTCTTCCACTAATAAAACTGACATACTTTACGTAACATCGCTCACCTGCTCTCTCTTTATATCTTTTCCTCTTCAAACAGGTGGCCATCTGTCACTGCAAGGTGAATCAGACGTACCGTAAATTTTCAACGCGCTCCTCCACATTCTTCCCAATACTGGGCTTTGGACGACGCAGCAAATCTCAAAGCAAACTCAACAAACACTGGCTCAGCGGCAAAGGATTGGGCGGTGGCGGCGGTGCGGGCGCCAGCGGTTCACTGCGCTCGTCCGGCTCAACGACATCGCTGACGCGCGGACATCTACCCTCGGCGCAACATGGCTCCGCCGCTCATTCGTCACATCAGCGTCAACAGCAGCAACAGCTGGGCGGCCAAATGCACGAACGACCGTTCCAACGGCATTTGGCGATGAATTTGGAGAACGATATGTATTATACAGTTGATTTTAGCGAGAATTCACAGCACTCACCGCTGATACAGTGAGCCAAAGACAAGCGCGCTCCACAGGGTAAAGCAGCGGTCGCCGACGCTGTTGCCGCTGCTGCTGCTGTTGTGGGCGGTCTGGTAGTGCGGGCGTTAGTGGGTGTTGTTGGCAAGCAACGATTCGGAGCGATTGTTGGCATGGGTGCGGTTAAGAGGGAAGCAACAACGGTGGTGATGGGTGCTGAGGTTCAGCACACGAGTGCGAATAGCAATAGCTGCAACAACAACAAATACAATAACAACACGCCCACTAATTGGTTAGTTAAATTTACAAAACGTTCTTATTAATGGCCAAATGCTGATTATGATCATAATTATGTAGACGACGCTGATAATAATGATAATAATTATGAGTTAATTATACAGTTAATTGAAAATAATGCATATGTACACACATACATACATACATACATATGTATGTAATTGCGCGTGCAGTGAAGGCTTGCCTGCTAGCGAGTTTGGCGGCACTGCGACTGGTGCAGCACTGGTGAAAACACCGTTAGCCAAAGTCCGCATTTTATTTTTATTTTTTTTTGCATAGCAAAGGGAAGCTGTCGCTACTTGCTAGTTGTAGTTGTGAGAGTTTTTCAAGTGAAATACTGCAGGTATTGAAACTTTAATTGAAATGTCCATGCTTTCATTGCGCGCCTGGCTACAAACTGTTCCACAAGCAAGTGAATATGTATGTGTGCGTGTAGATTGGTAAATGTAGATGTGTAAATGGGATTCTAAACAGCATAAGTTATAATGAAGGACAACTAAAATCAAACTGAAATTTTAATAAGCTTAATTACAAGCGAAGTAATGAAATACATTACACTACACACATATAAAATTACATTCGATCAAGTTGAAAATGATTTGTAGATACTTTTTATGCGTCAGCACGTGAATGTGTTGTTGCAGCGATAATAATTGAACAGACGAAAACGAAAATTTAATTAAATTAAAACAAGTAAGAAATTGCATTTTAAAATATCTACTTAATTAGTGTTATCCACCGCTTTAAGTGGACAGCCGAAACGTATTGAAAGACACCTTTGCATATGCAGACACTTCAGGCTCACAAATTAAAATTCTAATTGGCGCGTTGGTTAAAGTTTAGTTCAATAAAAGTGTAAACCGAAAATAAATACAAATTAAAATAAAATTCAAATTAGGCATAGAAATAGTGAAATATAGTGAAGAACAACAGTTATTAAAATAAAGGATAATAAAGTATTATTACAAAAAAAACTAAAAGCATAACAAATACTCGTAAGAAAGTATCTAACATTTTGCTACGACTCGCTCCTTATAAAATGACTGGTTTAACGATGCATAAATGCAAGGTTTAGCATAAAAAATAATTTACGAAAAGCGTGGCATTGCTTTTGCCAACGTTTATGATTATTATTGTAATTATTATGGTAATAACTATGACAAGTGAATGTCAAATATTTAGCTTATAACGAATGAAAAATAATGAATACGATAAATAACTTAAGTGTAATTATATGTAACAATACGCTTTCATTATGTTCAATAAATTAAATGTTGCATAATTGAAGCAATAATTGATTTGCTTGAATAAAATCAAACAGTTCGTGTATTCTGTTTCGAAACGCAGTAAGGCTGGTAAGTTAATTATACACAAGAAATTTTTTTTAACTTATTTTACATATATAGTAGATAAGAAACTTAACTTCAGTTTCAACGAAGCTATAATAACCTACACAATACAAGAGATTCCTTACAAGAACTTGATTTTGATCGTTCAGTTGGTATGGCAGCTATATGCTATAGTAAGCCGATCTGAACAATTTTTGCGGAAATTGTACCGTGGCTTTGGAAAATGATCCATGTAAAATTTCGTGAAGATATCTTGTCAAATATAAAAGTATAGGTAACAAGGAGCGGATTTTTAATCGATCTGCTTGTACGGCAGCTGTAACCTATACTGGTTCGATCTGAACCATTTGTTCGCAGATTGTAACAATGTTTCGGCAGTAATCTGTGTTTTGTGAAGATTCCTTAGCAAAATATCAAATAAACAAGAAAAAACGTTAACTTCGGTTGCACCGAAACTATAATACCCTTCCCAAATACAAATGCTCCTTACAAGAACTTGATTTCGATCGTTCAATTCGTATGGCAGCTATATGCTATAGTGATCCAATATTGGCCGTTCCGACAAATGAGCAGCTTCTTAGTGAGGAAAGGACAGGTGCAAAATTTCAAACCGATAACATAAAAACTGAGGGACTAGTTTGTGTATATACAGACAGACGGACGGACAGACGGACATGGCTAAATCAACTAAGCTCATCACGCTGATCATTTATGTAATATATATTTTATAGGTTCTCCGACGTTTCCTTCTGGGTGTTACAAACTTCTTGACAATCTTAGTATACCCTGAACAGTAGCTTCTTGGAGAGAAAAGGATGTGTGTAAAATTCATGCATACAGACTGGCATGACTAAATTGTCACAATGAGCAGTTATGTGTATACTTTACGTCGTTTCGTTCTGGGAATTACTTTGTAACAAACTTAATATACTTATTTTAGGGTTTAAAAATTCTTTAATAGGGCGTTAAATATATATTAACCTCGCTAAGGTTGATTCCTCTCGGAAAGAATTATCGATATTGCCGAGGGTCATTGTCCTCGCTAAAGGTGATTGACCTCACTAAGTTTTATTGACTACCGGAAAGATCATTGATCTCATTAAGGGTCATTGAACCCGCTAAAGGTCCTAAAAAGTCACCATAAATGCGCGCAGAACTAGTAAGTATATTTTCAGATAATTATATGAAATTTATTAGACCTTTTTGGGTCTGTATGGGTCATAAGTATGTCTTGCAGACTTAACGGTGTTAGTGGAGAGCTTACCATCATCATATAAATAACTTAGAAACTGTGTATATGTTTCTCAAAAGGAATCAACAAACTGTTTTGTCAGCGGTTCACAATCACTTCTCGAATTACGGCCGTTCTAGTGTTCTTGACATACCACCCGGATAGAGATTTTGGTAAAAAAGTGAATTCGGTCTAGCTGGATGAGTGCCATCAGATGGGACTACTGCATATTAGACTTACTGGGATCTTCCATTTACATGCTCTGTAGACAGGAAGGTGGCTGGGAAAATACGAGCTGCAACGACGACTATTGGGCAAACATTGTTGTTGGCAAATTGTGTGGTAGCAGCAGTGGCCGCCAATTGGGCAGTGGTTGGTGGCTCCAACTTGATAAGTTTAGTCGACTTAGTTTTAACCTTCAAAAGACTCAGTAGGGTATGAGTCACCCCATACAATGTTTACTTTTGACAAATGTTTGCTTAGGGTCAATGTACGCAGGGTTGCATGCCAGCCGAACACTAATTTCGAATATACGCATTATAATTATGTAATTTGTGCAAACTGAAATATTGCACACATTGTTAAAGAAATACACATATAATTTATATAAAACTTGTTTTCGTTTCAGCTAATTGAAATAAAACCGTTTCGGGGCCTATTAGCATATTGTAATACATTTTACAATGGCATATCTATTTCACATTATAAGCTAATAACATCATTATAAGCACAAAACGCCAATTATTCGCATAATTTATTAATAACGGCGCATTCAGTCATGAAAAATATTCTATAAAACATTGTAAATTTATTACAAAAGCAATATTAAATTAACGGATCTATCTAAACAACAACTGAACAACTGAAACATTTAACTAACGGCAACGAAGCGAATTAACTAGAAAATAAACCATGCAAACAACTTTTATTGCAAAATTCATTTATTCCTGTAAAAAGGCTAATTGCTATTGCAAAAAGTTAGAAATTAGTATAAAATATAGAAATTATACTAGTGCTAAACAACCACAACAACAATGTAATTGCAGGTTTTTTCGATCAGCAAACGTATAACAGCAGGACAAAACCCATCGAACTGCTGCAATGGAATACCCAGCGTGATTATTAATAGACGCAGAAGTAGTTTAATATTTTATGAGCGCGAAGTCAATCTCAACGGTATACTGGAATCAATTAGGCAACTTCAATAACGGTACGGTACGTAGCATACAATGCGCGGCGTTAATGTTTAATTTTGTATATATACTTACTGGTAACAAAAACAATGTATTGGGGTAATTGGAAATTAGGTTAGGCGCATACAGCAACGGTAATTTACCTGAATATTTGCAAACACGAAAATTAATGCATCAGAAAAGAAATTGCAATGTGACCTGAAATGCTTGGCAAATTTTAACACAACAACATAATTGCAATATCATTAATGCAAATAACAGTACAAATATTTACGAGTAAACACTGACCCTAAACGGTTTGAATACCACTATTCTTGCTAATTTTATTATTTTTTGGGGCGAAAAAATGAAATCAAGCAACTGCAACGAAATTGTGTTACGCAACGAAATACCGTCACACGCGCAGGGTACAGACCGCCACCTTATTTAAAACAGCAACGTATGCGGTTGAAAGATTTAGTGTGATAATCGAGTAGGTGAAATTTTTATAGGGTTGCCAGCTAATCGGAAAATATAAAAGTTTTAAAATTATGAGTCACCACCATATAGGCATCAATATTAAAAGATTTAAAGTGACGCACAATGTATAGATAAGGGTAGCCACTTAATCAAATTTCCGTTTAAATTTAATCCATAAATTATATAAAAATCAGAATAATAAATAACACCGATTCTCGTGATAAAATAACCACTTTGAGTGTGAAGACAGTTTAAAAAGGCAATGTCGCATGTTCACGGAATATTTTATGATGTTGGCATGCGGTTATTTATGCTTTATTCACACACAAAATTCAGTTCAATCTGGTCCCATCTTTACATAACAAATATATGTATATAAGTATATGTGGACGTATCAATAAAAAGGCAATTACTTATTTAACTCGACCACAATATGTGTAAACTTTCATTTTAATGGCAATAAAATGGTCAATGAAGTTGATAAAATATTTTTTTTAGCGTGGAAACCTTTCTCAAATCCCATGCGCAAATAAATCAACAAATGGCTGTAAATATATACATTTGTATGCAGTCGGTAGTAAACTAATTAAAATTGGCATAAATTGGTTTAATTAAATGAAAATTCCAAATGTACTCAATCAACTAAAAGTGTAAAAAGCGTGCTCGACAAAAACATACAAAAAGTGACGCTCTAATAAATAAATAATAACGAAAATATACAGAGATTTATTTGTGTGTGGAAGGTTTTAAAACGTTTTTAATAAAAAAAGAAGTATAATAAAATGGTAATTAAAATGCCGCCAGTTAATTGTTGATTGAAATAGTATGTATAAACTGTACTTATTTAATATGGCAAATATATGTATGTACAATATGTATGTACAAGTATATAGTATTCATGCATAAGCCAAATTGCACGTGGTTTCCTATTAGCCTTATGGTCAAATGAATCCGGAAAGCGAAGAGTTGTAGTTTGGGATATTGGCTTTAAAAGACTAATGCTTCTCAAAAGTATTGATTTAGTCGAAAATGTACTCGAATATTGGATTCATCGAATTCGTTACTTAAAAAGAAGTCGTGGAGGTCATTGTCATTTGCATGATGTTATATTCATATTTCTTATTAGAAAACCCTGTATATATATTAATTTATTTAATTGAAAGTTTTTCAAAAATTTTTGGAAAACATTTAATTTCATGTAATGCAAACAAAATTGTTAAATGTTAAAAGAAATTATAGAAAATAAATATAAATATTATAAAATAATATTAAATATGGTATTATAATACAAAAAATTTTTGAGGAAAAAAATTTTATATTTTAGGAGTTACACGAAAACTATGACGGCGCTAAAAAAAATGTCCTCCACTGCTGCATTTTTATAGGCTATAACTCAAAAACTGTTTAAAATATCATTTAAAGATTTGTAATAGTGAATGCATAACCCATAAAAATATGAAAAAAGAGATATTAAAAAATTTTACTCTAAGCGTGATCCTCAAGTTCCCTAATATAGTTCTTAAAAAAATTTCTTCAAATTTGTTTAATTTTTGTAATATATACAAAGCATTTAAATGATACTAACAAATTTTAATAAAACTAATTTCAGTAATATTTTAATTAATTTTTATTATATATTAAACGTTCGATATTTTGAGTTTACATGAGTAAGAGATTTACAAATAACAAATAGCTTTAATACACATATACATACATATACAATACAAATAACAAAAATACATATATGAAAGTAAAATAATGCGCTGAGCAAAAATTAAATTAAAACTAACAAATACAAGTAAATAATAGCGATTTCATTGCTAAAACTAACGGTTAATAAATCAAACAAAACAACTACACTTTGCTAAAATAATCAACATTACTTAATTACAAATACTACGTTGCTTCAATTGCATACATATATAATGGTCCAAAAATGTCATGACACACTGTAAGCAACTTTGCTTTGTGTAGTCAAGCAAGAGCTAATATTCTTTAACTCATAATATATAACAAGTAAAATATTTGGGAAATTGTTAGCTTTGTCGCTGTCTGTTTGCTAAAATTATTGATAATTTTCTTTTTTGTTTGCAATTAGTTAATATCACTCAAATCAAATACATATATTTTCTATCATATATGTACGTATATAGCTATGTAGACATTACTATGTGTGCATCCATAAATCATGTAGCGTCGTCTTTGACATTTCGTTCCCCTGCTATACTTGAACCCTTGCCATTGACTTGATGTGTGTTGGCGTCATCTTGACTGGCGACAGTGATTTTCGAATTATTCAAATCGGTCTCTTCGGGTATCACTTTGGTAGTGTCTTGATCCTGCGCGTTGTGCAAGAATAAGAAGAAGAAGAAAAGCGTAATTAATTAACTCATTATATTGTACGGGATCTATAATTAGTAGTGCGCATGCGTTTGAACCTATACACATATTAATTTTAAGTAAATCGTCTGCCATTCAAGCAATTACAATGCACACACTTTTAGTTACTTTCAGTTAATTACGGTATATAGTAGTTATATATATAGGTATATTTATTTGTTTAGCTGAGAACGCTATGGACCGGTTCGTTTTTTTTTTTTTTTGTTTTTTTTTTTTTTTGTGCGCTGAAACTTATTTCTATTAACGCCCCCATAAACTTATTTAATGCCAACAAAATATCTAGAGAAATATTTATTTTGCCTTCATTGTATGTATTTAATATTTAATTTAATTAATAATTCATGCAAAATAATATTTTATTTTTACTGATGCAGAGCTTGAATTTTTTTTATAATACAATAATTTTGTACAAATACTTATTTCCAATACAACAAATATTTTATACATTCAAACACAGTTACTGTTTACTCTTCTCAACAATGCTCATAAATGCACGAATAGTGCACACCAGATTTAAGTATCGGAAGTGAGGAAGCTTCTTGAACAATTATATGTGAGCTGTGACACATAAGTTCGGGTTCCAGTTTGGTAAACTCGTAAACGAAAATAATGGAATATATAGGCAAAAAACCGAATTAATTATTATTTACCACAAATATTTTCAATGATTTCTCATTCGATAATAAAATTGAAAACCAAAACATTATTTTTATTTTTTTATTAATTTATAAAAATATTTCACTCTATGAGCCCTCGTATATGTAAATGAACCCATATGAGACACGCAGCTCTTTACTGGAAGCAGAGATTTCCGCATCATAATATGGTATTTTTCTGAAAGCTTTCAAATTGATATTATTTCCTAAAACGGTTACACGAGACTCCTATTCCGAAATCATTACTTTTGAGATATCGAAATGAAATTTTGTACACGTCTATTTCTTCTCAAGCAGCTGCTCATTTTTCGGAACCACCGACATCACACCACTGCCTATATCCTAGCTCTTCTATAAACTGTTCGATCAAAATCAGGTCCTTCTATGGAAAACTTTTTTACTTGAAAAGATATCTTCACGAAATTTTGCACATATTATTGCCCAAGACAATGCTATAACCTTCTAAAACATTGTTCAGTTCGGACCACAATAGCATATAGCTGCCATACAAACTGAACGATCAGAACCAAGTCTTTGTAAGGAAAACTTATTTATTTGACGAGATATCTTTATGATATTTAGAATAGATAATTTTCCAAGACAACCTTATAATCTTCGAAAAAAATGTTCATATCGGCCTGCTATAGCATATAGCTGCCATACACTCTGCTCGGTCAAAATTAACTTAAAGGTTGTTCATATCAAGCATCGTGGCTAGGAAAAACTAGCAAAACTATTTCCGTTGGATGCGAACCGTTAGACGTCTATACCTTCGGATTTAGTTATATATAGTTGCTATAAGAAATATACATGTGAAGGGTGTTACCTATAGCTGCGATGTTAGCCGAAGTTAACGTTTTTTCTTGTTTTTTTTACTTTCATTCAATTTCATAACTACATTACAGGAAAGGAAGTGGTATCGTAAGTACTCCGAAATACGATACAAATGGTATATACATATAAACATATATATATATATATTTATACATATAGTTATATAGAATCGAAATATGTATATGTGGTTGTGATGCTTTGTTATTGTATATCTGCAAAAATTGTTGGCCATATATCGATATATATCTATTTGCGCATGCCTGAGCTATGCAGCGCCATAAATAGTTGCAAATCCCCAACGCCTGGCACACTTTTAGGCGCGCACGCTTACAAAACCGTTTTCACCAATATTTTGCAACTACACTCGCACAATCATTCGCTAGATAAACAGATTGTGCGTTTTTATTGCTTTTGTATTGTTTTCTGTGCTTTTGTTTACTGCTTTTATAATATTGTTTGTTGTTTTGCATACGGTAGTTTTTCCCAACAGCTTTATGGCTGTTTATGCGGCTTGTTTTGCATTTCTACTTGATCAATCAGGTTGTATTTAAATGATTTTATTGCCAGCGTAAGTGGATTATACCATATGAATGTGGTCACTGCAATTTCTATATATGTATTTGCTGTTGTATGTGTTGTTGTAGTTTAGTTCGCTTATTTTGGCACGTGTGAAAGTATTGCAGTATATTTCCATGTATACAGCAGCGCACATACACATACATGTGTATATGGGTACATTTATATAAGCGCAGTGTTGTATCTTTTGCACAGCAGTCGGTGTAGCAAACAGCAATATGCGCAATTGAGCGGCTGCATTAATGCATGATTGCATACAAAGTGGAAGATATGTGTATCAAGCGCTGATGTATGCAGATAGCGGTATACACACGCACACGAACACACACACACACACATGCAACTGTACGATTTTACTTTTGTATGCATGCATATGCGTATATTTATGAGTAGTTTGTGAGCATGAATTATAAGTAGAGAAGGCAAAGCTGTAAGAGTGTGTGTGTGTATATTAGTACAGTGTGTAGTAAAAGTGTTTGATTGTCGAGATGGAAATCTTGTTCGCACGCTTGATTGGTTTCATTTCTGAATTTGAAGGATATCTACTTTTTCCAGTTGCAGTACTTTGTGCCACTTGCATGCGAAAATTTAAACAACTATAAGAAGAAGACAAGTAATTGCATTTGGTGTGCAGCACAAAATGGCAATTAAGTATTATGTAATTGAGCGACAATAACACGTTTTCTATATTTGCTTTATTATTTGTAATTTTTGGCAAGTCAAATGTTGTATAAGAAATACAAATTGTTTGTATATTATTGGGTCGGTAAGTTGACTATTTATAAATTTTTGAAGCAAAATAATTATCGTTTGAATTATAATATGCAAAATAGCAATCAAGACGACTTTTCATGCAATTTAAGCTTGAAAACTTACTAGAAAAATAGAATATACGTTAATCGAAGCTATAACACCCTTCACAGCGTCATTTTTTATAGCATCAAAAAAATTTATCTTGATTTTGATCGTTCAGTCTGTGTGGCAGCTATATGCTAGAGTGATTCGATCTTAACAATATATTCACAGATTTTAGCAATGTCTTGGACAATAATTCATGCCAAATGTCGTGTTGATTTCTCATCAAATAAAAGCGTTTTCCATACAAGGACTTGAGTTTGTTCGATCAATTTATATGGCAACTATATGTTATAGTGATCCGATCTAAACGTATTTTTTAGAGATTGTAGCCCTATCTTGGGCAATAATTCGAGTCAAATTTTGTGTAGATATCTCGTCGAATAAAAGAGTTTTTCATACAAGAACTTGATTTTGATCGTTCAGTTTGTATGGCAGCTATGTGCTATAGAAGTCCGATCTAAATAATTTCTTTGGACCTTGTTGCTCAATCTTGGATAACAATACGTGCAATTTCAATTTCAGATCGATATCTCAAAAACTGAGGAAGTAGTTTGGGTATATAAAAACAGACGTACACGGCTAAAACGACTCAGCTCCTCAGGCTGATTATATACCTATAATGTATTTACTTTATATGGTCTCCGACGTTTCTTGTTAAGTGTTGCAAAGCTCGCGGCAAGCTTAGTATACCCTGCACAGGTAAGCTATACCATCGTTGAACCGCACGGTCTGCTTAAAAATTGCTCAATGGTATGCAAATGAAAATAGCAATTGGTTTGAAAAGTTTAATTTCAAGTATGATCCTTAATTAAACGACGGCGAAGACTACTATTAGCATTTCAATTGCTTCGTACAAAAAAATTAAATTTTGCGTGTAAAAAACTTGGCTTCTCGGAAAAAATTAAACTATCGGCTGAATTTCGAAACCCAAAGCAACTTTATGGGAATTTTACACAATTTTCGCTAGTTTAGAGTTTTTATTAAACTTTAAGCTTTAATGACGACGCTTATATTCGTTTCAAAGTTTCGCCAGTAAGTGCCTTTCTACACATGAACACATATATATTTCAAGAATAATAATTTATAGTGCTCTAGTTTGCAACAATAACTAAGGATATGCATATATACGTATTTACACAACACGCACATGTATATACTTATATGCAAAAATGTTGCACTCTATGCGCACACACCTCACTGGCACACGCACACGGGCGATGAATGCAATACACGTATACTCAACGAACTTTTATATAAAATGGAGTCAAGTGCCAGCAAGGAGACAACGCACTAACGGCAAACACTTTCTCAAGTGTGCTTCACAAAAAACGCTTATTGCAAGGCAAGTGGAGTGGAGCGTGTGCGTATGAATATATGTAAAATACGATACACAAACATACATACATATTTGAATATATCAATACAGGTACTCAAAAATAAGAGTTGCTGGCAAGTCGAAAGCGTGTATTGAACTCAATACTTCAAATTGTGAAGCACAGTTCGCACTTTAAAGCAACGACAGTTTGTAAAAAAAAAATCATTTTATATTAAATTTTCTATGCTGTAAGGAATACAAAACAAAATCGATATTCCACGGAATTTGTTATTTGTATTTTGCTTAAAAGATACGCAAGCATTGGAAAACTGCTGCTTGAACCGATGCAAATCTAGTAATTAAAAATTCTGGTGTTGCATTTACACACACACATACCCATTAAATATATACATATATACGAGTAAATCACAAACTACTGCAAACCAGTATGACTAGCCGCAAATATGCCGCATACACATAAATTTTATAGTTATTCTTGTTATTTTTGGCATTCGAGAATATATTCCGCAAAAACAAAAATGGCATTCCCCAATGACATGCAAAAACTTGAAACAAAAAAAAAAAACAATGAATAAAACGAATAACGCAACAAAAAATATGCATACAAAAATATACGAACGCATTGCAACGAAATAAATCAGAAGTAAACTAAATAGAAAGAAGAACATTTTGACGTCTACTAATGGGTGCCGTGGCCAATAGACCCACAGCTATGCGCACCTGTGAGCGTCATGCATAAATGCAGCTGCCAAACGAAGCATGCAACGCGAAACGTGCAACACAAAAGCTACAACTACAACTGCAAATTCAACTGCCACCATGCCCTCAACAGCATGCCAATCATGCGCCATTGTGTGTGTACGTGTGTATGTATGTGTGTTGGTGTTTTCGTTTTTCTGCTTGTGTACATTACCATCAGCATTGTGTTGGGTATAACGGACAAATCCATCGCTGGTATTGATGTTAACAAACCACTCGGATACTTTTTCATGCGGCTGGGGAAAAAAGTTGATTCAACGCCCTGTAGTTTGCGTATGCGCGGCACAGTGAAGCAAATGCGCCAAAAAAAAACAAAGTAAAATAAAAAATAAAGCAAAAATCAGCAAACATAAATTATATTAAAAAAGCGCAAGCATTGGAATCGCTGAAATAACAAAAGTGTGTGAGCGCAGCGCATAAACAACAAAAACAAAAAAGTGAAAAAATTAACTTATAAAGTGTGCTACCTTTTAGGGTGCATTGAGTGTAGTTGGCGTGAAAAAATCATAATCCTCAAACAAGTGGAGAACAATTAATTTTTTTGTTAATAATCAGTAGTAAATCAATCAATTGGCAGTAACGATACCTGTATACTTATGCATAAATAATTAAACTCCTGTGTGTCTGAATTTTATTGCCTCGATTTCGCTCAAATCATAAGCACGCACCTTTCAAAATTAATCATTTTTCTCCGAACATTTACTAATTTACCTGGTTCAGCATGTAACAAAAACTTTTTTTTTGATCATATATTAATTTTTAGTACGCATTACACTGTACGACATTCGTTTGCTATTGTACCAAGCCAATTCAAATTCGAAAATCTGACTTTGGCCTTTTATATCATAGCTGTCATATAAAGTAGACCAAAAAATATTTTACACTTTTTTGTTTATTCTTTTTTTTAACAACTTTCATACCAATTTTAATAATTATGATTTCGATATGCTTAAAATGAATTCAAGTTAAATATCTCAACTTTAAAGGCTAACTTCGCTTTTTAATATGACTTCTTAATATGGCTTTTTAACTTATAACCAAGTCTCCCAAAAAATACTTGCTTGGTCTAATACTCCGAAAAAGTCGACTTTGCCATATACGTGCGTCGCCGTTTATATTTCGGGATTAGAGAACAAAAACAAATATTATTCATCGAAAATCGCTTTATTGTTTTCTAAAATATTTTTCATTAAGATCCATACACTTTTTCACGATTTAAATCTTTTTTTTTTAGCTGAGATGAATATTTTAAGTTACTGTAAGCAGCACAAATAGCGCTCGTATTTCTAAACGTTGTGAGTATGTAAAACATCAAAAATGTCAAACTTTACGATAGTGTTGTCAAATGCCGAAATATAAGAAAACATTCAAATGTTTTAACTACATTAAATTTTAAAAAATGATGTTTTCGAAATGCTCAATTTCGAAATTCGTAGTCAAATATTTTGGAGGCGAGCTTCGAAGAACGTAAAACTGTTTTTTTATCCTTATACGCAAGCGCTTGAAAAATTTGTTTGCTTCAATATCCTGAAAACAGCTCAAACCCATACTTCAATAGAACAGTTTCCATTACATTTTGATTTCCAATTTTCGTTTGTAATATTTCTGCTAATATTCACGAATAGTTGGCATAACCTATCCATATTGAACTGCTGCGGAATTTGTTGAGTGTGTATATGTTCATTTTTCCTACAGACCCCAGCAATATAAATTGCGTGAAATTTTGGGTGTTAAAAACTTCCATACAAAATTTATATGCTTCATAAATGCACTAATTGGAAAAGTTCAGCCCCACGATCCACAGTGCGCTTTCAATATTCAGCTTATAATATTTCGCTTTAAAGGAACGATGATTTTTATGGTATTTATTTATTTTTGTAAAAAAAAAACAGCAGCCAACTCGAGAACAGAAATATTTAAATAAACTTGAATTTCATGCTGTTGGGGAAAGGTTGGCAATAAAAAATACAGAATTTAGCAGAAGAAAGTAAAAATAAAGTGAGATGAGTATTGGAAAAATATAGATGATATATAAAGGAAAATACAATAAAACTAAATATAACACAACAAAATTTTAGAAAGTGTGCCAAAATAGATTATAGAAAATATTATATAGATATTATATTATACAGTTAGCAACCATAGGTGTGCTCAAAAAATAACGGGAATTTTCGTTTTTGAAAAAAAATATTTATTCATTTGTCTACATCAATGTTGGAATTTTCATTTTTCTTAAAAAAAAAAATTATTAATTTCTCTACATCACTGTTCGAATTGTCGTTTTTTGAAAAAAAAAAATTTTTTTCATTTGTCTATATCAATGTTGTCGCCTTCAAAATAGTCCCCATTCAATATTATGATGCACTTATGCTTCTTACAATCGTCGAAATCCTTCTCAAACTCCATTTTTGGGATAGCCTTTAGCTTTCAATCGTACTTCAGGGGCATGTTTGTACTATTTAACGCTTCAAACACGCGAAATTTTAAAATACCCGTTATATTCTGAACACAATTCGTATGTTATAGTCTAAAAGTATGAAGCATAAGAAAATAAATAACAATTTTTATAACTAAATGTGAGAATAGAGCAGAGCCTTCGACAAGAGAGTGCGTGGCAAGATAAGAAGAATACTTCTAAAAATACACTGAAATTATATTCTGATGTTATTTCGCATACAAAAAATTAACTTTAAGACGGCAAAAAGCTAAGGAAACGCTGAACAAAAAATATCGAGTGTTCTCTAACCCATGTTTATAAAGAAAAAGCTACTTTGCCAAGAAACTCTCTAATCTACTTATTAACTATATTTTTTCCAAAAATTTTAACTCCACAAAAATCTTTAAAAATTAAACTTTTTTACACAATTGAAAACACAATCATAGCGGGAAGTCGCTTTACTAAGTATCCGCCGCCTAAAGCTATTTGAAACAAAAGTTAAAATAATTTTCCGGAAATTTGGCAAAATAAGAAATTTGCATAACAAAAAAAAACATTAAGTATGCCATACAGACGCCGAGCTGTCTCTAGATTGCCATTTCCATTTCGGCAAATATTATTGTTGCAATTCGTTTTTGACGCGCATACAATTTTTTACCTCGCACATTCGACGCCAAAGCGCAACAGAACCATATCATTGAATGCAAAGCGCAAAAAAATTCTAAAAACAGGAAAAAAATACAAAAACACACCAACGAGAAAAAGAAGAAGATTGGGCAAAACAATTGCGGCAATTTCACAAGAGCGGCAGCACCAGCTGCCACAGCCACCAAACAACAATGTTAGCAATGTAGCAAAAGCTATAATTCCAGCGATAAGTTGAAACAAGGAAAAATGAGTCGAATTGTAGTCGTTATCACAGTAGCATAGGCGAAAGCGCCCGGGGTCAACTGTTCGACGACTACAATTGCTTTATAACGGAAAATAGCCGAAAGCAGTAGCAATGGAAATGCCAAACAAAATAAACACAATAGCAACAGCAGCAAGGAAAATAAAAATCCACTACAAATCAACACAATTGACGGCAATCAACGCGTATATAGGGTCTACACGCCACGAAAATCAGAGGCCTACCTGAACGTCACCAATGTAGCAACGTGGTAGCGTCACACCCACGAAGGTGCTTACCCTATGTGTTGTAGCGGATTTCGAGCACGCGCCCCTATACACGAAAACAGAAATGCACGCAAACACGCACTTTCCGCTTTTTACACTTTGCGTTCTGCTTTCCGGCGACACGCACCAACCAGTCAGGCAACAGTCATGCTTAGCCAACTAAGCGGCAGCACACGCACACTTTCAGCCGCTCCACGCTGCCGCCATTAGCAATTTTGTGCGTACGTTTCGCAAACGCCCATCCACCATCCACCGAGACCACAACGCTTGTCAAGCACACCATCGCCCCCACTTACCTCGAGCACAACACCCTCCAGCGTTGGCTGTGAGATGTTCTTCATATTGCTGTGATTCAATTTGGGCGCGCTGTCGGCACGATTTCGGCCTAATGATTGATTTGATGTTTTGTTATCGGCTTTGCTCAGCACCGAATTATTGGAGGATTTGTGATTTATATCCAGTGTTGAGCGCAAAATGTCAACCTTCGAGGCGCTGCCGATGTTACTGCCATGTCGGGGTACACGTGTTGACTCGACATTATAGCTGCTGCGGCGATGTGACAAATGGTCGTGAATATCCGCCTACGCAGGTGCAATCAAGAATTATATATTACGGTACAGTAGCACCCGAAGACGTCATGTTGCGTAAATGGTGTGAAAAGTGCACAAACGAAGGCAGCGAGAAGAAAAGCAAGAATATAATGAAATAAATTAGAATTAAATTTTCGTGATTAAGCAAAGTGTCAGAGAACTTCAGCACAAAAGAAGGGCAATGGGTATTATAGGATGTTCTGTAATACAGTTATGTTAAGAAATAAATGATTCAATTAGAAATTGTTTACTTTGTTAATTTTTCTGATTTTTAAGGTTAGTTATGAAATAGCATTTTACCATAACTTACCCGCGAGCCACGTGGCAGTGAAGTCAAACTGCCTATTTGATTGTATTTGATCATCAAACTGAGTCGTTCCAGTGACATAGATGTGCCTTGTTCCTTTGTGGCCGGTTCCGTTAGTTTTTCCGTTTCACCGTTTTCCATTGTCTCGGCTTCTTCTTCACAATCATCGATATTATGATCGAACTTACGTAACCAAGCCAGATGTAGTAAGCCGTAAGCGATACCGCCTACTACAGCCAATAGACCCATATAACGGAAGGCATCTCTTGTACCAAACTGACCGATTAATAGACCACCGGTAAAGGAACCACTACCGCGACCTAAAAACATTTATTGAAATCAATATAGTCGGAATATAACGTCAGATAAAAATAATAGCTTCAAGATTAGTCGATTTAGGCATCCCCCTTGGGTATTTTCGTGAAAGAATACAGATATATCATTTTTGCTCATTTGAGTAGGTTTTCTGTGTTTTTGATTCAAATTAATCGATTTATTTGCGTTCTCTGAAGAGCTAGCCGTTCATTTTTTTGATTTTTAAATAATCAGAAACAAGAACTCCCGTCTGGGTCTTCTTGTTATTAAGCTCTGAACGTCTCCACAATCAAATCGTTCACAATGGCGTCCGCTCGTGTTTACACTTCGTAAATTGTCGTATGTTTTACGCTTTCTCTTCTTCTAATAAGATTTCCTACCATCTTAGTTAAAAAATGTTTAAGCCAGTTTTTGAAATCTAGTGTAAGCGGATCTAACGGTTCTTACTGCGATAACAGTTGTAATCCCTTATTAAATTTATAGGAGTATATGAAACCTCATTTAGCCCCAACTCGTTGAGATCAGTGCTTATTTTGACAAATATATATGCAATATTCAGTAGACCAGCAACTCTGCTGTACTAAAGACTCGCTGAGGTATCTGATTAGTATCTCATTATAGATCATCCGAATTCAATATTTCACATCACGTCATAACTTCTTTACGCTACTCCCCTCAACACTTACCCAAGCTGAAATGTGCCATACCCAGCACACCAATTAATGTGGCCAACAAGCTTTTCGGTGCCAAAATTGAGCAATAAGTTGCCGCTGCCACCCACATCAAATGGCAAGACAGAGCCTCCATCGCTTCGAAGGGAAAACACCACCAGGCATTTCTACAGAAAAACACGAATTCAAAAAGCATTAAAAGAGCATAACAAATCAAAAACGCCAGCATCACTTACTCAATGAACGAATAGCCGACTAGGCGGCCAGCATGCGAGAAGAAAGCAATGATAATCAAATTAACGTGTCCAAAGATACGGGTGATACGTTCGGCGCCATACAAGAAGGGAATACTGCTCACCGTACCAACTGTGATAGTTATGCCTAAAAATAGTCAAAACAAGCAAATTTACTAACGTACATACTGACAAATACAAAACTTTCGAAGGGAAAAATAATTAATGAATAATGTGTGGAATAGCAACTGGAACAACACAATTCGATTGAATTTGTAATTCGATTCGATTCGCTGTCACTCACGCTCTGACAGTACAAACAAACAACCGTACTAAATGTCAACGTTCAACTACAAATGGCATGACAGCTACACTAACTGCTTTTACTTACCGAGTAAATAATTGGGTGCACCCAACTCCTTCAGGTAAAGGAAGAGGAAACTCTCGATGAAACCCCAGAAATTACCCAAAATGAAGAGAAAGAAGATGAACGTAATAACATGTGGCATCTTCAGTAAATTCCACAAATCCCTGAAAACATTATCTGCCGGCAATTTATCGCCCAACGGCATCATCAGCACCGAAACTGTTGAAATTACCAACAACAAATCGTAGGTATAAAAGGCTGCCGAGTAATCGGTGTAGCCGAGACCACGTGAAAAATAATCAATCATTATGCCAGTAATTGGTGAAAAGATGGCCATGCCAATGCTCGAAAAGAGACGCTCACGACCAAAATCTCCGCCGTACTTCTCAATCATAGTCAGCGCTATGGGATCCATTATGGTGACACCGGCAGACAGCATTGTGGTGGCGAGGAATCTATTAAATGAAAAAAATAAACATAAACATATTAACGAATATTACAACCAATATATGTATCTACAGAAGTCGTCTTGGTGTGCACAAAGTTCAAAGGTGTCAGCTACTTTTGGTCCAGATAGCATAAATCAATACGAATTAATTTGTTTACGTAAAAATATCAATTAATTACAAATCAGATTATAAATGTGCCATGCTGATAAATCCAAAAAGCAGGCAAAAAAATAATGAACTGTCTAACGTAACGTGAAATAAATATCTGCCGTCTACAGCAATAGTAGCTGAACTCGATTTTAATAAATTTCGCACTTGATACGTGACTGAGGCTGTTGAGGAAACGTCGAAGTCATTGCAAAGTATATGTATATACGAGTGTTTTTTTTTAGATGTGTGTTTTCAATGAGGCAATACTTTTTTCGGTATTGAAGGAGACCCGAATGAACCCATTCGTCAACGCGCGCAACATTTGGAGCTATGCTAATTCACTTTAGGAAAGATTTTGCAAATGTATCTTATTTTCCGGGCTTAAAAAATACAACTCATGCACAAATTGGAGCCGAAAGATCATCAAGCGCGCTGCACATTCGGTGAATGGGCCCACAACGATATGGCTTTTAACAAGAAAATTTCTATGAAGCTCACTTTTCGTTGTATTGGTTCTTTAATAAACGAAATTGTCACTTTTGTAGTGATCATAATCCACAAGCCATTATTAAACGGCATTACATCTTCACAAAGTCTCTGTTTGGTGTATTTTATTGGCTGAAGGAATCATTGGTCTATATTTCTTCAAAAATTAAATTAAGCCGATCATTATGTTACAGTTAATAGTGAATGCTATAGAGCCATGAATCTAAAACACAGCATTTATAAATGATCAACGTGACGAGTTGAATCGATATATACGCGAACTACTACCTCAGTTTTTGAAATATCGATCAGAAATTTTGCACACGTTCTTTCCATTCCCAGAAACTGCTTATTTGATGGGACCGGCAATATAATACAATATATAGCTCGCATACCAGCTAATCGATTAACATCAAAATTTTCTGTGAAAAACTTTTTTATTCGAAAAGATATTTTTACGAAATTTGTCATAGCTTATATTTTTGAGGCAATGCTATAATCTCCTGACATATGGTTTAGATGGGACCACTATAGCCGCCATACAAACTGACCGATCAAAACCAAGACAAATATCTTTTGACTGTCCCTTTTATTCTATAAGAAATGAACCTGTGAAGGGTACTATATTTTCGGTGAAGCCGAAATTAATATGTTGTCTTGTTTTATTGCTAAATTTTGATATATTTTTTATTTTTTATATCAAGATTTTATTTATTATTATATTAAATAACCATATAAATAACCTCTAATACGCGCCATCGGCAAGGTTTCAGCATACTTTTCTCAACTTACTACGAGAATTGAGTACTTACTCTCAAGACAATAGCGCAGCAGCGTACACTTAAACTCACCTCAATAAAAAGTATATCCAGAATACGCGATCATCTGATTCTTTGTAATCGGGCGGACAAATCTCCGGTGCATTCATTGTGAAAACACAGCGTTGCACCATACAGCTAACAGTGCCATTTGTCAGCTGTGACATGTTGGAGCGACGCACCAAACCGCCGCAACGTAGATCCAATTCATCCAAATCGGTGACATTGATTTGCATATTCCACAGACGTTTCTCGCCGAAGCGCTGCTTGAAATCGGTCACCGTCTCATTGTCGTCCGGTTCGATTTCCATGCCCAATTGCTCAATGGGGTCAGCCAAATCAGGATGCATTTGCAGCATAAAATAAGCAGCGTCAATGCCATCTGAATGCACCCAACTCTTGGGGTTGTAGATGCTGTCGTTGCCCAGTTCGCCAGCTTCCACTAATTATTATTATTATAATTTTTTGTTGTGTTTGTTGTAAAGTTGTTTTAAGTGCCAGCAATAAAAGATCATGTGAATAAAAGAAAATAAATAATGCAATGCTTTGCTAAAAAAGAAGCCACACAACGGCGTCTACAAAATAAGCGAAGAAAATGTGTACGTGAAATAAACTTGTTAAAAGGCGCACAAATCTACACAAAGGGTACACAATGCAATGACGTTTGCGCTTTGACTCGGCAAACAACTAAGCACACACACACGCGCGCACATTCATATGTTCTACTGCGTATGGATGTGTACAGTCTGTACGTAAAGTCATGCATACAAATAATAATACATTGAAATGTTTGACTTTTGTGTTGAATGTTAGAGCGAGAGTAAGAATGACAGCCACACAAAAGAGAATGACAAATGCACAAACACTATATAGTCCATTATATTCATCAGTTAGAAATTCTGCATGGCAGCAACAGCCATGCATTTCCACAATAACAATTAGATGAGAATCTGACAATAGTTAGATATGACAGCAATGGGTCTCAGCTTTAGGTGTGTGTGTGTCTATACGTAAGTTTGCACTTGCTGCAGAGTTGGTTCAAAATATAAATGTAAAAATTAAAAAAAAAAAACATAGTAAATATGGAAAACTTAAGGTGGTGTTCTGGTCTAGAAATTTATAAAGTTACAACCAATATAGTGCCTTGACAACATTGACTTTTTTTTTATTTCATCAATGACATTTGCACTGATTGAAAATCTACGCTATTCTTTTACGGATTACCGTAATACTGAAACCGTGTCAAGGTGAACGAGATTAATTTCTTCTTCTTCTTTGAAAAATTTTCTGTAACTCTTGAAAAATTAATAAATAGGTATTTTGTTATATACTGTATTATCAAATTTATACTTTTTTTCTAGCATTATCTGTCCGCATAGAGTACATACTTCAAAAGTTGTAAATTTAGTAAAATATTTTTTTTGAATATTTATGTAGAAGCCTCTGCCACTATTACCGCAAAAAGAAGTTTCTCAGAATTAAACACTATTAAACTAATAATTGTCTGTTCCTGAACTAGTAAAAATTCTCAAATCAATGTGCTACAGCTAAATGTAAATAATAAAGAATTCTCACTAAAGCTCTACTGAAGTGAAAATACACTCTCGCTCTCTCTCTCCCTTTCTCTCTCTCTCTCTTTCTATCTTTCTATCTCTTTATTGAGTTTATACCTTATAACAGTGGTCGGCATGAAAGGAACCACTGAGGACTGTGTGGACGAGTAAAAAATCTAAAAACCCGTTCAACTACAGCCTAGAATTATTTAACTTTAGAAAGTAAAGAAGAAAAAATATAAATTTGAAACGGCAGATTCCTCTCATTTAAAGTTAGTTTTTAATCTCTAACCTTTGCATAAATGCAAATATTCTCGCTCAATAGAGTTTACATATTAGAACAGTGGTGTGCATGAGAAGAACTGTGACTACATTTATGCGAAAGATGGCAAAAGACTCTTCCAGCTAAAGTCTAGAAGACTTCAGGAAAAAAGAAAAAAATCTCAATTTCAAACACTGCCGCTTACTCAAAGTTTCTTTTTAATCTCCAAACTCTACCTGCCTCTACATATTTTCATTGATAAATAGAGCGTGGAATTTTTATTAGTTTTCTATTTATTTGCAACAAACTAGGTAATCTTCGAAAAAACCTCGCTACTAATAACTCTCTGTAATTTTTTTGGTCAGTACGGGTCAAATTTGAACAAAAGATATACAGTTGCAATGAAAAGTTTCCAGTCTAACAGTTGTAGAATTTGTTATTATAAATTATATTCGAACTAGTTTCGTGTTTCTTGATATTTTTAAAAATTCTAAAATTTTCTCGAAACTTCTCCAACTTATAAGTTAAACCACCATCGTATTTCAACCACTCAAACTCTTCGAAAAAGTCTCCTAAAAATCTCTAAATATTTTTTTGGTCAGTCCGTGTCATATTTGCAATGAAAAGTTGCTAATCTAATAGTTCTAAAAATGTTGTTCTTAATTATATTCCAACTAGTTTCGTGTTTCACTATGTTTTTAAAAGTTTTAAATTTGTCTCAAAGTTTCTCCAACCTATTAGTTAAACCACCATCGTATTTCAACCACTCAAACAAGAAATTTGTAATGCAAAGAGTTTGTTATTTTCACGCCTGGCTTCTATTTCTGTTTTGTTATATTTATGCATTCATACTTTGTCACTTTTCAAACACAAGTACGCACAGACACAGACATACATACATATATACACTGAAGCTCACACATTAGACACTTCACACTTTAGAAATGCACTAGACTACATCAATTGTCCATTTTACAAGCGTTTATGCATTCATTTATTCATTTCACACTCCCAAATACAAATAAGACGACATCAAGGCAGATAAGTTCACGCACACAACTCTGTACGCACACACACACAGACCACCGATCTTCCAGCAGTCGTTGAAGCAGTGAGCGCAAATGCTGAAGAGCAAAGTACACATGTATTTTGCACACATTAAATGCCTTGAACACATGCAACCTATGCATATGTATGCACTCACGCTTGTTTATGGATATGCATGTGTGTGTGTGCATTTAGACGGCAAATAGTTAAACAAACAGTCATACTGGCATGCAGACAGGCGGACAAAGAGAAAGGCCAGCGGGTCATAAAGTAAACTTGGCAGTCATGGTAACACAAACGCAAACACACACTGCCACACGCACACACACTCACACTCGGACACACAAACTGCAACTGTCACTTACAATTCCATCCCTGCCCCAGCTCTGACAAGGCCGAAGAAGACGTCACCACCGGCGGGAACATTGTCGATGACATATTAAGTACATCTTGGAAACGGGCCACTGAGCTGGGTGTTGTGAATGCGGCTGCCGCTGCTGCTGCTGTCTCGGCGCGTGCAGCTGCTGCTGCCGCCGCCGCTGTCTCCATTGTTGTAGTGGTCGTACTGCGCGCTGTTGTTGTCGTCGACGGTATTGGTGGTGCCGTAGGCGGAGATGGAGACATCGTACTGTCTGATGGATCCAGTATTGCAATGGCGGTTGGTGTTGCTGACTCAACGTCGACTGAAGCGACTATTGTTGCTGTCGTTGCGATTGTACCCATTGTCGTGGTTCTACTCATAGTTGTAATTGTAGTTGTAGTTGTTGTTGTGGGCGCACGTTGCGTTGTCGAATAATAATCGGGCGATGGACCATATAACGACGGTTTAGGCGACGGAAGCGATTGCTGCTGTTCTTGTTGTTGCTGCTCTTGCAGCAGACAATAGTCCACACATTGACTCACAGCCAAATCAAGCTCCGGCTCCTCGGGGCATTCACGACTGGGACAGGGTGACCACCAGACCTAAGAAAGAGAGAGCAGAATGTATCAATGCGTTATAAATATACAGTTATATATCTGTAGTTGTATGTATATATTATATATATTTATAGTGAGGAGTTGGAAAAGCAATAGCATTTTTAAAAATCTGTGTTCGACGGCAATGTAAGTATTTTTGGCTCGCTACGCAAAGCGCAATAAAAAAAAACGAGCGAAAGCATTGAATGACAAGTGGTGAATGGTAAGAAAGGAAACTAAAGAAAAGTTATAAATACACACCCATACACACACAAACACTGGCGTATGAACAACAATGTAGTAAATTGGTGCAGTCACCTACTTTGGGGCATGCCACATGACTTCACAAGTCGTGTACGCTCACATTTGCAGACAATTGCGAAAACAGCTGTATTGGGAAAATGTAAGAAACGAAGCAGGAACATTTAAAATTTAAATAATAATGCAAGAGACTTTATAGATTTTAGTTCGCTTAATGCCGCTTATCGATATCGAAACTTCTCTCTTTTCATTACTTACCAAATATTTTAACCGGCTCGAACAAAACTGAACATTTTCGAAAAGATTCTTAGTGAGAAAAAGATGTATGCAAAATTTTTGAACGATATCTCATAAATTGAGAGATATATAAAGACGGACAGACGGACAGGGCTATATCGACCCAGCTCAGCTATACAGAGTCGAACACACGAGGAAAGGGGGTCAATGATCTGTTTCCATTCTACTAATAGCGAAGCTAATACCTGAACTCGCTGTTAGTGAGCTCTAGGCTAGTAACGCCGCTCTGCTATCAGAGTGGATAGTCACTTCTCTAGAGGAGGCTGCACTCCGGAGCAGTGAATCCACTACCACCTTAATGGCAGCACCCGCCGTTTGAAAAAATACTACAATCTCAAACTGATAGAGTGTTCCTGAGAGTTCCTGACAGTGTAACCCGCCACCAATCTTCGCCGCAAACTTTAACCCGTCCGTAACCCACAACTGGTATGTGGGCAGATAAAAAGCCGCCAGAGTTTGATGTGACGACTTCATGATGATCAGGATTTTCGAATGTTCAGACTTGAAAACCTTGTTCACTTAGAAACCCAGATTCTCTAAGTTTGATAACAACTTTCGCGATCATACACCTTCCGCCGATATCTATTGCTTATTACTACTCATTGCTTCAAATTTAAAAATGCTAATAATGCATTATAAGAAAAGAGGAGCTGGAAACATTTAGTGTATGTGAGAACATTGTCGCGTCGACAGCTCAAACCGTGTTGTACCGGTCTATGTAGACAGAGATGGCGACTTCCTTTCCTATGTTACTCTGCTCCAATGCATGCTAGGCGAATTCGATTTATCGAATAATATACCAGCATATGGTAAAACATCAAATTTATGCAAAACAGACATATTGTGCGAACAACAATACTGTTATGACCCGGGAAGTAGATCGTAAAAAATGCAGATAAAAACATCAATGCTGCGCTGCGCCAAATCTAGAATAGCGTCGTACGAATGCCATAACGCACATATGAATAAGTGCAACTAAACGCACCCAGCAGGTAAATGCAAAGAGGCCAGACCAATTCGTAGCTCAAAACTGGGGTAACAACAACAAATGCATAGCAGTGTATTAGAGATAAAATATTTTAGCAACTAAATTTAAGTTTAAAGGCTTGCAAAATCATCTGGACTTTCACGCATCGACAATGGTGTCGTGAAAACGTGACAGCTTCGCTGCCAATTCACAAGGTAACAGACTTGGCGCACTCGAGCCGAACCCGCTTAAAACGAGTGGTTTTCCTTGCAAGGTAAATATATTGCAAACTCAGACGCTGCAAGTGCTTGCTCAATAAATTTGTATTCATATGTTTTCATATACTCGTATGCGCTCAATACTTACACACTCCTGCTTACTTGCAGTAGTTTACTACACTGCCGCTACTTGTGTTACAGTTTTTATTGCTAATGTTGCTATTTATGTCTTGGCAAGATTTTATAATGCGGCCAGCTTTGCGCAGTGTTGTGGCTTTTCGAATGGTATGCCAACAATTCGGTAGTATTTTTACAAGCCACTCGACATTTTAGCCTTTTCCAGGTCGCAACGCATACCCCGTTTCTTATGCGCACACACACACAGAACATACACAACATGTGTGTGTGTTTATGTGGGATTTTTATGAGAGCAAAGCTATTTTTATGCATATTGTAAAATATTACATAAGTAGTTGTTGTTGTAAATGTATGCATAGCATATCACTATATGTAATTTGCATAAAATGAAGCTTCTGTAAAATGCTTCAATATTGAAACCAATCTGGACATGTGTGAAGATAATCCTGTGAAAAATGTGGAAGAAAATGAAAATTGTTCATGGATGACTAAGAACACATTCATACAGTCAGAAAATTGATTTAGGGTGGTATTTTAGTCTAGACTCTAGAAGCCCGTATTTCGAGAATATTTTGACTGCTGAATTGCTGAAAAAACATTAAATGATAATTTTTCTAAACATTTTTTGTATCATTTGTTGGTTTACGTTTCAAGCGTACACCAAATAAATTTCAAAAAAAATGCATAAAGTTATGGCTACTGCAGCGTAGGAAGAAAAAAATACCACGTTCTCATCGTCACGATTTCTATCCTTTTCTGCATTTGAAAAATAAAACAATAACGAATCCTTAATTACCACCGTATTAACTAATAAAAAAGAAAAAAATTCAAAAAATTTTACACATAATAATACACATAAATAATGGTTGATTTTTGCACCTTTGCACGAATTTTTTTAAATTTTAAAAAATTTAAATTTTCATTTTATGTTGGCTCTTACGATAACGACATTTGTAGTATTAGTTATTTGGTTGTCAAATTTCTAGTAAATCGCCCGATTAGAGTTTAAGATGTCACGCCGAAGATGGCGAAAAAGTAGTTTTACGAAAAGCGGTTTTAAATTTTTGTCTTTAAACAACTACAAATTTTCAAATAATTTGAATTTTGAAAAATTCTTTAACTTGAGATATTTGTGAATAGCCGAGCTAGCGGAATTTTATAAAATAATTTAAGATTTTTTTCTCAATATCTAGACTAGAATGCACCTTAGAAGTTGGATAATCGAAATTGTAAAAATAAGAACTGCAAACATCGCAAAAAGTATGGCATCATTGGCGAAATCAATCCCAACCAATACAAAGACGACAATTATAAATAAAAAAATCAATAAACTTCGAGAAAGAATATGAATGTGATTCTACTGTATTTCTGAGTTTTTTGTTAAGGAGTAATGCTATAACACTTTTCATCAATACAAAAGATTTCTTACAAGAACTTGATTGGGATCGGATTTATTTTTTATTTATTTTTTTTTTTTTTATTTAACAGCAAATTTTATTTTATTTTATATAATAAGTTAGATTCTGGGTTTTGTTTTGTACACCTTGACATAAACGCATAAAAAAAGTCTGGTGCAGTCTGGACAGGTGACCTTGTGGGCTAGCGGAAAGTGGAGTTTCTGGATATATATTTTTTTTCAAATTTTCGTTAGAGCTCCGCAACAGCCGGTCTGGCTAAAAAACTAATTCAACGTCTGTAAATAACGGTGCCGATTGACAGTTACTGTTACACCGTTTTCTTCAAAGAAGTATGGCCCGACAATACACCTTGATGAAACTGCGCACCACACAGTGGCTCGCTCAGATCAAAATGAACCTGATCAGACATAAACTGGCACTTTATCAATTTATTATCATCTTCGGTCGTTTCTATCATTTTTCGTCAAAATTCCAGGCGTATAGGCAGATCTAGAGCGTTTAAACGGCTTGTTATTTGCACTTTGTACGGAATTAGTTTTAAGTTAACCTGATATCAAATAAAAAAAAGTAAGTCGATTACTCACAGGAAAAAAATTATTACGGTACGTTTTTATAGCACGATTTGTCCACCGCCCTGTATATATTGTATAAATATTTATTTTTTACTGTTTAACTTAAAAATCAAAAATTATCACCACTAGTGGATTGAAATGCAAGCTTAACAGCTCAGCAGCCAAATTGTCTGGGATATTTCAATGCCAAAGCCACTTGGGCCCGTGACAAGACTTAGACAAATATAATTCAGCAAAATGTCAATTTAAAGTTCAGTATGCAATAAACAAATAAATAAAATTAAAATTGACTTAAGTAAGAAAAATTGACTTTTACATCCGTAACTTATGCATTGAGGTGAATATTGTAAGAATTCGATAAAGCAATTTTTCACATGGATTTGCGTGCATCTTGAACTGTCACAACGAATATTGTTGCAAACAAAATGTCGGCAAATGTAAGAAGATTTCGGAAAACACAAGCAAATGTAGCCGCTATGTCTAAACGAAGATGTGTTGTGTGGAGACCTACAGGAATGTACATATGTATGTATCTTTAAAATGTGTGTATGTGTGAATTTGCAATTGTAAATACAGTGTTGCACATAAATAGTCAGGAAATTCATTAAAATTCGCTTTGCTCACACGAAATATTTGTAAGGACATGCTTTAGCAAACAAATCACAAATTTCAGCAGAAAATATTTTTAATAAATGCATGTTTTTGGACTAAGAATTTTATCATAAGCAAACATGAAATTTATTTATTTGTATATATAACAATACATATGTACGTACTTTTCCACATATACATACACACATACTGTGTATATGAATTTGCACAAAATCTACCTTGAACTCAAACAAATGCTTTATATGAAAATAAATAATATATTACAATATATGCATTATATATGGCAATTGTGCAGACTAACTGTTTGTTAGTTCGTTTCAAAGCAGCACAACGCTAGCGAATGCTTCACATTTATTATCCCTGCCAAATTTTATGCTGCAATGCGTATTTATGTAATGGAAACATAGCATATACACTAAAAGCGATTTGCACACACACACGCACACAGGCTTTCAACGAAAGTCAATCGCAAAAGAAAATCTGCTTATTTGTGTGTGTGTGTGCGTGCGTGCTTGTAATGTCAGTTCAATAAGACGCCTTCGTATGTTTATTTCATTTTTATTGCATTTGCGCCGGTAAGTATGCTAGCTCGTGTAACGGCATAACGGTAAGTCTACACACAGTCTGTCCAGTGGCAAAATAAACATTTATATTTGGATATACATGTGTGTGAAGCTGCTTATATATATGTGTGTGGTTGTGTGTGATTGCGGCTGTCGCATATGTCTGTGACAAGCATAAAAGTCGTTACAAGCCAATAACCATGGGCAAAGTCCAATGTCAATAGCTAATAGCACATATACGCTAAGATTTTTTTCTCTCAATTTCTTTCATATATTTATTTTTTTATTTTATACCTGAATAGGGTACGTATATCAAGTTTGTCATGATATTTGTAACAATCAGCATGACAAGATGAGCCGATATAGTCATGTCCGTCTGTCCGTCTGTCCGTATATACGCGAGCTAGTGCCTTAGTTATCGAGATAACGGCCCGAAATTTTACACCTGTACTTTTCTCACCAAAAAGCTGCTCATTGGTCGGAACCGCCGATATCGGACCACTATAGCATATAGCTGTCATACAAAATGAACGATCGGAATTAAGCGCTGGTATGGAAAACTTTTTCATGTGCCTAGATATTTTCACGAAATTTGGCAAAGATTATTATCTAAGCCAATGCTGCAATCTTTGAAGAAATTATGCAGATCGAGTCAATATAACATAAGTATATCTCCCATACAAACCAGCCGTTAAAAATCAAGTTCTTGTAAGGAATCTTTTTTATTTGTGAAAGGTATTATGGCTTCCATGCAGCCGAAGTCAACGTTTTTTCTTGTTTTTGTTTTTACTTTTATTATTTTTTTTATTTTTGCTTATTTTCACATTTCTTATTCTGCCATAAATTTGGCCGAGCAAATAATTTCGATTAAATTACTGCATAAAATAAATAAACGTTTCACATTGTTAATAATGTATGACTGTAAGCATGTACCTATGTGTGTGAAAACCTATGTATATGTGCAAACATATTTAAATAAATTTCGGTTATGCTCTTTTGCCTTCCCCCCTTATTTTTACAGCTATTTAGCCGCGTGTGATTTCAATGAGCAGTTATGCTTTGAAGTGCAATGAGTTGTGGTGTATATATGCATGTGTGCGTGTATGCGTGAAACTGTCATTTTTTCGGCTTTTGTGAATTTTTGCTATTTTTTACTTGTTTTTTATGATTTTTGTTTATGTGCAAAAGTGCCAATGGTAAAATTGATCAAACTACCGTTGTAAATAAATGCTATAAATGCTTGATTCGCGTTTTATACATTTATGCTTTCGTTATTTCACTCAATTTACCATTAACTCTGATCTGGGCAAAACCATTTGGTGATGTTTTTTTACAGAAATTCTAGTTTTTGTGTAAAATCCTGTTTTAATTGCTCGGCTGCATATCTAAGCTGATGGAATAAAATTATTGATAAACACTTAAATGATATTTAAAATGGGAATTAATGTGATTGCATTTCAAAAAAATTGATTTACAATGCATGTGGCTTTGAATTTTTGAAACAATTTTTTGATGCTAAAAATATAGTGAAAATATATGATATTATTAAAATTATTATTAAAATAAACTAAAACACTTAGTAGCATTAAAAACTCCGCAAACTATATATTTTTAATAAAAAAAAACATTTTCTTTTGTGTAAAATATTCAATTAAATATTAACAATACGCTTTAGTCATTTAAACATTGTGGTTTCCTTTTGTGGAAAATGTGTGACAGCTGTGACATGGAAATTGTAAATAAAATTCAAATGTTTTAAAATAAAAAATTGGTTTTAAGCTCCACTTAATACATTAATTGATCAATATTATTGAAGTTTCTTCGATCATTTATGGAAAATATACTGTTTTTTTTTTGAACTTCCAATAACGAACTGTTGAGAAAGTTTGCGCGTTGTACAAGAGTATGCTCGACAAGTTAGTTTGATATAAGATACATCTATATCTAATACCTAGATATTTATATATTATCCTGAACAGAGTATATTAAGTTTGTCACGAAGATTCTCAGATTCAGAATAAAACGGCGGAGCAACTATAAAGGTCATATATCTAAATGATCAGCGTGACGAGCTGAATCGATTTACGTTTATCGTCTGCATATACGATCTCAGTTTTTGAGAAATATATCTGCAATTTGTCCCAGGTTATTTTCTTCCCCAAGAAATTGCTTATCTGCCAGAATTGCCGATATCGGCTCTCAAACAGATACAGCTGCCATACAAACTGACCGATCAAAGTCAAGTTCTTGTATGGAAAACTTTTTTATTTGAGAAGGTATCTTTACAAAATTTAGCACGAATTATTGCCTAAAATAACGCTGCACTCTGCGAACAAATTCTTCATATCGGACTACTATAGCATATAGCTGCCATACAAACTGACCGAACTAAATCGATTGCTTGTATAAAAAACTTCTTCATTTGGCGATATATCTTAGCGAAATTTCAAATATAAATAATACCCAAAGCAAATATCACCCAAAGCAGAACGTCCATAACAAGTTCTTGTATGCATAACTTTTTTATTTGACAAAATATTAATGATGAAATTTTGCACAGATAATAATCCAAAGCAAATCTAGGATATAGCGACCATACATATGGATCTACCAATATCAATAAAAATAAATACTGATACCCTTTAATGATATGAGTTAACGATTTTTATTTAAAAATTAACTAATGATAATCCTTAAACTGTATGGAAAGTACTGTGTTTCTTTACCTCCATAAATTTTTCTTTTTTTGAAAAAATAAAATATAAATAAAAAAGAACTTCAAAAAGTCAGTTCCATTACTATTCCCGACAGTAATTCAAATTCTTACTAATTATATGAGTTCAACCAATTTAGCAGTTGCTTATATTCACCTTATCTTCATAGTCTACTCGAACACCTTAGCAATTGAGCAACCATTCAACTGCGTGCAACTCAACATACCACACTTCAATAAGGCTTTCCATTGAAACACGCATTGATTGAATTTTCACTTTCCTCACAAACACATGCGCCTAGAAACACACATACATACATAGATAAGTATATGACGTGCGCACCAGTGTGTTGTAATCAGTTGCAACTTCAATATCAACTCACAACAAAAGTGGCAAAATACAAAACAATGGCTAAGATGATAATCCTACACACCCATTACGCATTGCACAAAAGGTTGAAACGCAGCACCAAAACAACAACCACATTAATGAGCATTGTCGGTGAAGACAAAGCGCTCAACCGCAATTTCATTGGTGAAAACCATGCTGGAAGACACATATGTATTCATATCAATGGAATCATACTTACATATGCATACGTGGCGCATATTTGTCTAGTTTGGTATGTAGTCGTTGGCCACTCCATCGGCTTTACGAGTCTTTACCAGTTGGTGATGTACAAAGTAAGCACATATATAAGTAAGTACATATTTATCGCTCAACCACATAAATTGTTGTAATTAAAAGGAATTTCTGAAAGCACTCATATTCGATGGCAAAAGAGCTCGGCCAGTATCGTGAATCTTGTGGGAAATTTACGTAATGTATGTAAGGCATGCCAAGGCTTGTTGCACGGCTAAAATTGGTGAACTTGTAAGAAAATTGTTGAAGAAATTTAGAGTTTACTATGTATGAGTTGAGCTGAACTAAAGATTAATCGAATTTTTTTCTTAATAGAACCTTCGGATTTTTCATAACCATAATCTCAGACTAATCTTAGCACTATGGTAGTCACATTTATCGAGGAATGCGTGACTGGCCTTCTTATCGTTCAATCAACCAATGTCTTGAAGATTTTCTACCTAAAGTGTTTAACTGCGAAACTCTGCACTTATAAATGTAAGCGTTTTACATGCATCAAATCTAAGACACAATTCACATCGCCCCATAATTACAATTAACAGTAACAATTTGACTTCTAGCGCCAACTAGCGTGATAAAATTTCACCGGCAGGCTTTCTGTTAGTCCATAAAGGTAACCTAAAACCGCCAGTAAAATCGATCAGTGTGTTTTGTTTAGTCTAAAAGATATTTTTCCTGAAAATTAACTGTTTTTGAACAACCTCCGCATATCAGCCATCAACCTATGTATATCTGAACCATCTGTCTGCCCGGGAATAGTGCACCTATTTTACCGTTTGCAGCAGTTATGTGCTCCTGCATATATATGTTCAAACGGACTTTGCAAAAATCATGTTAATTCTCTCTTGACACTGGCAACTTCGGGAGGTTTTTTCCGAAAGTAACCAAAAAACTTTAACATCACTGGTTTTGAGCGCCAGCATGAGCCGGCAGCCATACAATGCTGCAGTCAGTTTTTCGTTCACCAAGGAAAATGAAATACCAAAGGCAATCAACCGAAAAGGAGTGGGAAAGCGAGCAGCATGAGACAAAGAGCTGTTGTTGTAGTGGCATTGCAATGATGCTCACACACAAATAGCACTTACACATACTTATGTATGCATGTATGAATACCACAGGTATGCAGTATGCGCTGAAAGCACTTTGTACCTACAAAGCGTGCAAGTTGGTAAAACAATGAAATTAACGGTACATGGCATGTTGAATACTTTTGTGTTTGACTGTTGTATGGAGACGGAGATGGATGAGTAAATATGCAAGTGCTGTGGGTAACTCACCTCTATATCGCCGGTATCAGGATGGCGCATAACAAACGCCGATGGCACAATACCTGGAATCTCCTGTTGCGGTATAAACAAGAGCGAGTGATGGAAAAGTGCATTCAGCAGCAAACTCATTATGACGACCGGTTTGTACTTGCCAAATTTATCGACAAGGAAACCTGCAGAAACCAGTGAAGAGTGTAAAGAAAATGAAGAGTGAAAATTTTAATATATTTAATTAAGATAGTAATTAAATTAAATTGCTGACAATTTACGAGAAATGCAGGTCAGTCAATTGCTGCGTGTAAAAGTAAATGGATTTTAATGAAATTGTCTGTGTTAATGTTGCACTGCACTACACTTTGCACTTTGCCTTCATGGCATGAGAGCACCGCATCTAACAACGTGCTGGCTATTTAACATACCTGTAATTGGCGGACTGAGAAAGGTGGTGAATGGCAATGCTAGGTAAATGATGGCAATCTCCTCCACTGTCAGACCGATCGATTGCATGTGTATGGTCAAGTAGGGCAGTAGCGATGATGTTGCTGAAAAGTTTCGCATAAAAAAATTTAGTAAATTAGTTTTCTTTGTTAATATTTTTTAAGTTATATTTTTAAAGTATTTAAGAAGATTTATTATAAGAAGACAAAATATTATCGTGTAAAGTAGCTACCAAGCGAAATGTGCTCTGCTTTCATTAAAAAAGTTTTAGAATAGAGTTGCCACGTATCCCGAAAGCAAAGAACTTCAAAATATTTGTTATGTTATCTTTCGGAAACTCGATCAGTTCCAGCGCTTTATGTCTAAACCCCTATTGCGTAACTAAAATATAATATAATTTTTGAAAAATCAAGCACAAAATATTATAATATATATAAGCTAGTTTAAAAAAGAACTTTTTGAAGTTTATGATAAAAATATTTTTAGAACAGAGCTGCCACCTAGCTAAAAAAGAAAAACTAAGCAAAGTACTATAAAATACTTTCCACATATTAGACGTCTTAAGTCGAAAATTCAAAAAGTTTCCATAATATTCTCTGAATTATTATACTTAGAACAGAGTATATAAAGTTTGCCACGAAGTTTTTTAAACCGAAAAAGAAACTTTGCAGACCCTATAAAGTATATAAAAAAAATGTTATTTTCGCTTACATCGAAGCTATAATAGCCCTCGCAGATGCTTTTCTTATTGCATAAAAGTGTATAAAATCATCTTTATCTTGATTTTGTTCGGTCACTTTATATGGCTGCTATATGCTATAGTAGTCTAATCTGAACAATATTTTCGGATATTGTATTGTTGCCTTATATAATAATTCTTGCCAAATTTCGTAAAGACACCTTGTCAAAAAAAAAACAGTTTTCCATACATGGACTGGATTTCGATCGATCAGTTTGTATGACAGATATGTGCTATAGTGGTCCGATCAGAACACTATGCTTGGGGAGTGTAACCTTGTCTTGGATAATAATCTATATGCTAAGTTTCGTGAAGATAACTTTTCAAATAAAAAATTTTTCAATACAAAAGACTGCTTTTGATCGTTTAATTTGTATGGCAGCTATATTCTGATTCTATAACGGCGCTTACTTCAAATGTGTACGCCCTTGTGCAGAAAAGAACGTACGAAAAATTTCAGTTCGATATCTCAAAAACTGAGAGATATGCCAAAATCGACACAGCTCATCACTGCAATTATGTTCAAGGGGGATATGGGTAAAACCATTATATTTAAGTTTGTAATCTAGCTGGTGTGCCCTTATAAAATCTACTCAGCGCCCAAACAATTTAATTCTGCATCTTCAAAGCAGAAGCAATATAAAAGAATCAAAGTGTGGTTTTGCTATATTTAACTCCAAACACTGAAAAATCTGCATTCCAACAATCCAATAATATATTAAAATTCAATAATACAAAAAAGCAGGCGCAATTTACCAAAAGGCTGTACTAACTTACGCCTGTTATATAAAAAAAAACTATGCAATATGCTACCATCAATTTTACTTCGAATCGTAAAATAATTAACTCAAAAATTTTTCTATTAATTTAATATACAAAAATTCTCTGTCTATCCATTAAGAAATAATAGAAAATTGTATCAGGATACAACACAATAGCATACGCCTGCATATGTGTATATGTATGTACATATATAAAAATAGCAAATTTCTGTATAAAATTTAAAATTTTTTTGTAATAAACTAAATTTTTAACATACAAATTTTAATATAAAAATTTTTGACAGGAAATCAACGCGTACGTGTTAATAAAATATTCATAATGTAAACAAAGCTGCTCTAAACCCAAACTCACTTCAATATGTATGAAATATTAGTATATTTGCGCAAAATTGTTAAAGCAAAGCATTTTGTACATTTTTAGGCGTCCATCAACACAGTATACGCTTCAAACGCAGCCGAAGCGCCGCAGGCCACATTTATATTGCAAAAATCACTGCCGGAAACTTCACAAGTAATGCGAAAAAAAGTCAAACAGAATCCAATAAAATCGACAGAGAGTAAACAAATGACAACTATTTACGGAAATAAAAAAAAAATATTTTTACCAAATTAATGCTGATCTTTAGTATGGAATTAAAAAATAATAATAATAAATTTTTAAAAAATGTTTCCTTTTAAATATAAATTTTTTTGTATATACATACATATACATGCGATACTTTAAATGTGCGCGCGCAATACTTAAATCGCTTGTATTTGTTGTAGAACTTTAATTATTTAACACAATAAAGCCACATTGCAAACAGTAAGCCAATTAAATTCGGTTGCTGGCAAGTAACATAACATGCGCACACACATGCATACATGCGCATGCAACAAATAGAAATACACATATAGAAATTATATGTTATAAAAGCGCTGATTCTCAGATCCTTTGGACCCATATATTTGTACATACCAGTGCCAATATTGTGGCATTTCGTTGGCAATCACGGAAGTTTCGTATAATCAACGAGCTGCTTGTTAGCGCGACACGCCGAAAACACCGACATAAATACTCATATAGGTATGTATTATGTATTGTATGATTCGCATGTAACATTTATTGACATTTTTTATGCCACTTATACTTGGCAATTGTTTACGCATAGCATTAAGCACAGTGAGTAAAAAGTATTTCATGCAATTATTTGCACAAAAAGTCACATGCAGACAACATAAAAAAAAATGCAACACAAAAAAAGTCGAGTAATTAAATCCTTCTCCACTTTACGCGCCGGCAATTTTCTGCGTCCACATTTAATAAAAACAAAAAATAATAATAAACAAGTAAGGATGGGCTAAGTTCAGGAGTAACCGAATATTTCCTACTCTAGCAACTTGCAAGCATCAAAGCCGGGGAAATAACTGCAGATGTTGACAAAACTTTATATTAAAAGGAGAGAGAGAGAGAGAGAGATATTAGAGAGAGAGAGAGAGACAGTATTTCTGAATTTCATTAAGATATCTTACATATTGACCGATAGATGCGGCATAAACCGAACCGGAAGCTCGAAAATTTTTACATTATAAATACTCGTATTTGAGCACTAGGATCCACATATTTGGTGTATGGAAACATGAAAAGTTTTAGTCTGATCTTTGGGCGTAAAATGAAATGGCTTGAGAACTCTAATTATGAAAACTTCATTGATGGTTGATTTATATGTTGTAAAGTAAAGGAACCAAGTGGAATTTAAAAGTTTGTTATATGGGAAATAGGCATGGTTGTCATCCAATTTCAACCATTTGCACAGTGTCTAATAGGAATGTTTGGGTAACTTTACCTACCAAATTTGATTGAATTTAGTCTAATGGTTTCTGAGATAATAGATTTCACCTAAAGGTGGGCGGTGTCACGCCCATTGTTCAACTTAGACATTGTCACCTCTGAAGCCCTTTCCTACTATCTTGTTTGTGTAATTTAATGCTTGTGGCGTGTTTATTCAGTGAGTTATCGCCCTTTTAGTGGTTTTCAACATAACGGTTATATCGGGGTGAGCAGCTTCTTGGTGAAAAAAGAACGTGTTGTCCGAATCTCTGTTCGGTATCTCAAAACTGAGGGACTAGTTCGCGTATATACAGGCGGAAAGACTATATCCAATAAGGACTATACCCGATAAAGGTATACGGCTATATCAACTCAGCTCGTCACGCTGATCATTTTTATTTTTTAATATACTTTTTAAGGTCACCGACGACTTTCTTTGTGTTACCTCGTGACAGATTTAACATACCTTGTTCAGGACATAAAAATGTTTGCATTTGCCTAAAATATATCTTTTTCCGACAAATCTGTATTAATTTGTATTAAAATTTTCTTTTTGTTTTTTACTATTGGTCACCACTGTCGCTGTGTACAAGCGATATGCGACGCTGTTTACTTTAAGTACAACTAACTTTTTTATGGTTGACGCATAATTTTTACATTTTTTTAATAGTATGCCTGTTTTTATCTCTCAACATGTCTACGGCGTATTCGTCATTTACAGATTTTTGGGCGGAATTGCATTATATTATGTTGGACAGGACCCTAAATTGCTAGCACATAAACCATATGCTCTAAACTGTTAATTTAAATTTTTTTAAATAATTTACTATATTTTATAGCAAATACATACAATTAATAAAGTATTTTTTCCAAAGGTTTTTGGTTATAAGGCTTATATCAGCAGCGTTATAACTATATTTTCAAACAAATTCCTCATAATTTTTTGAATATTTTTGAGAAGGGCCCTCCACTTGCTTAGTTTGTACCATTGTATGCTGTCACAGGCTTCTTATAATTTATTAATGAAGAACCGTTTCCGGTTTGCACTTTCCGCTACTGCTAAGAAGCTTGCACCCAAAAATTTCTCCTTTGGGCTGGGTCCACATATGAAAACTTTTGTCGCCCAAACTTGTTGTTTGTTGGCGAGGGGACGACGAGGAAAGAGGAAGACACCTTGTTCGTAATAATAGTTTGCCGCTACGCAATTTGGCATTCGCTTTCATTTGAAAATTCTATTCAGGGTTGCAATAGCGCTCGGTTCTAAATGAATATTTACATTATGTTCGGAAATGTGAATTTTTTCATCTATTTTGTGTATGTAATATGCAAATATTTATAATATAATACAAATATTTTCGAAAAGTGTGAATATGGATAAAAATTACCCAATGAAAAATATTTTTGTATACCGCGTATTTGAAGCGTTCAAGAATTTGAGAACATCATATAAAAGGGAATGTAGAAAATGGTCCAAATTGAGTTTCTGGACTCATGTCACTCGTTTGAATGACAAAATAGAGAAATTGCCGATAATGAGCGACAAAATTATTCGTGTGTGAACTCAGTCTTAATTCTACTGTTTTTTCTTGTCCAAAAATAATTCTAACTCAAAAATTTACTTTAAAATGCCGCCTCTAAATGATAAAAAAATTTTTTTTTTTTTTTTGGTCAAAAATTTTCTGTTTTTATAATCTACAGATTTTGCCCTCAGTCTAAGCAAAAAAAGAAAAAAAATGTTTGTCCACCCTAATAAATACCCTCAGAGAAAATAATCAAGAGGCGATCACATTATCTTGGTGGCCATTTGACATTTGACAAATGTCAGGAAAACGATTCGGTCAACATCTTGTTATAACGCTCGCTATTGATGGCAACAGCATTTCCTGCCTCATTTCGAAAGAAATAAGTGACGAAGATACCGCCATATCAAAATCCGCACAAAATCCGCACATCTGGATTTTCTGGAGAACGTGAATTTTCGTAATAACCTTGAACAATTTTCAAGCGTTGCACCAAAGTGAAACTGAGTATGATGAAATGGCCAACCTTACTGAACACACTAACAAAATTTGACACAAATCTGTAAACAAAAATGGCCGCCACGAGCTGTCAAAATCGTCATCCCTATTGGTAGACGCATTATATTGGCACAAATATTTTCCCACAATCAGCGCACATTTTAATAAATGGAATTACTTTTCATTACTGGTACACAGGTTGTTTTTAATTTATGTACGTATATACATATGTATTGACGTAGTATTGTATATGCACGTATGTATACCATATATTATAATATATAGAGGTAGTATGAGGCGTTGCGCTACGGTTATAGTAATTCCTCTCAGACATTCATGCATTTAATTAACAACGCAAAGGCGGTGAACAAAATAAAATAATTAAGGAAAATATAACCTGTGCAAATATGCTCAGGTTGCCGGTAGCTACACATACATAAAAAATACAAAAATCACACAAATGGCGTGTTGCAACATAGCCACAAGCGTTTGGCGCAAATTGCATACTCGAGACTGCTGGAAAAAATACTAATTATGCATATAAGCACTTTACTTCAGAACTGAAGTGGAAAAATGACTGAAGCAACTTAAAAACTTTTAAAACTGTTATCTCATTCAGTTTTAATAAGAAGTTCTCAGCGCTCATGCAAACTCAACTATGTATGTACATGACCTCTGGCGTCCATGCACGTTTTAGGGCTAAACATATATTTATTTTGAGATTTTCACTTTCAAAAACAGCCTCAACTCAATAAAAAGCTTTAGTTACTTATTTACGAGGGCGAGTGCCACAACAATTCGCTGATTAACAAGGTGCTTACATAATTTTATCGCGCTGTTCACCTGTCTTATCTAAAGCCGCAATTATTTAGTTTAATTACTGCTTGATGGCTAAAAAATAGCGTATACGCACAGGCGAATAAACCACATAAAGGCAGCAACAAAAACCAATGCCATGCTTACTTGTCACAGATTTTGTCAATATTTTAACACCAGATAAAAAGCGTTAAAATTGAGTTTACAGTTATATTGATGCAAGATCATGTGTATGTATTCACATAGTATAAGATATACGAGTATATGGGAGACAAGCTGTTAAGTCCGAAGGACGCAGGGCGCCACCAAAATTCGGCCTAAGGCGCTTTTAAGGCAATACATACATTTGTTCAAACACATTGTTGTATATCTAAAAATATTCCACTCAGAGCTAAGCAAATATTATATGTATATGTATTGTTGCTGCCGAGCTCACTAAAGTAGTAAAGTAGTGTGCAAAATATACGACAGTTTTCATTCAAAACTAATCTTTTTTCTTTAAATATTTTTAAAAATCTAACTTAATAAGTTCACTTTTTTTAGACTTCTTTATAACTCTGTTAAGTCTTTTGACTTCAAGCATAAAAATCAAAAGCATTTTCAGCAATTTCCCTATATAATTAGTTAGTATTTCAGCAGAATCAAAACAAATTGTGTTTTAGTTTTATGCACGAACAGTAGAAGCAAGCTAAGAATTTCATATCGCCTTACCGAAACCATTTTTGTAGTATGATAGATTTTGTTATTCCCTGAGCAGAGTTTATTAAGTTTGACACGCCTAACACCCAAAGCGAAACGACAGAGACCCTATAAAGTATGGTATATCCATGTTATAGATGATCAGCGTGACGAGCTGATCCGATTTAACCATGTCCGTCTGTCTCTCTGTCTGTATATACGCGAAATAGTCACTCATATTTTGAGTTTCCGATATATCGCTCTGAAAATTTGCACCCCAAAAAGCTGCTCATTTATCGAAA